TCCAAAAATATCTAGTAGCTAAAAATAGTTCTGAAAATGATTAATCAAATAACTATCTAACAAAATTGTAATTTACTAAATTTACAAGTCCAGGAATGACCCCCTATACACACAAAAACATTCTGGACACAACAATTATAAATATCTATGACAAAATGTCTAGTAGCAAAAAATAGTTCTGAAAACGATTATTCAAATAACTAACTAACTAAATTGCAAACATCTAAAATTTACAAGTCCAGGAATGACCCCCAATGCCAACTACAAAGTCATGGCATTTGCAAGCTTTACAGCAGTATTACAGCAGTTGGTCAACATCTACCACATACTCAGCATCTGCTTGTACCTTTTCATGCTTACACTGGCACAAAACAGGTCACAAAGAAGGTGCTACATGAATTGGAGCCAGCCTGGTGTAAACTCAAGTCTGCATTACTCAATGTCAAGACACTATACATTCCTAAGCCTGGAGCTCCACTAGTGTTGTGGACCAATGCATCTGAGCTTAGTATAGGAGCAGTATTGCTGACACAAAAATCCTCTGATGAAGATGATTTGGCACCTCTAGCATTCTTCTCCATAAAGTTTGATTGACTGAAATGTCAGCATCCCCCTGGATAGCAAGAATGTGCAGCCATTATTGAAGTGGTGAAGCACTTTTACCTATATCTTGATAGGATGAGCCAACCTGTGGATTCAGACAGATACTACTACTGCATATGCCATATTCTGACACATAAGATAGAGAGCGATAAAGACTAATCTCTCAAACTTTCAGGATGGAGCTGTCCAACAAGGGCATTACAAACTGAATGATGGAACATCAGCCAGGTATCAAGCAACAAACAGCAGATTAGCTGTCATATGTTATTGCACCTTTGGTTGGCAAAAATAGCCAGAAAATTATTGAGCCAGTTCACTATATCCTTGGTGCCATTTGAATAGACACTGATGGGGTTATACAGAGATAATTATCTGCCCATTAACTATTTATGCATGCTGGAACTATTGGCAATTTCAGTGAAAATAAAAATTTCACCCAAACTGCCATCGGCATCTTGGAAAAGTTTCAGTGAACATAATTTCAACCAGAAAGAGAAACCTTTGCATATTTGGGGTTAATTATCATTGGGCAACAAAAGTCAATATCTCAATAGATGTGGCTAAGCAACCACAAGGAAATTATGTTCACTGAAACTTTTCCAAGATGCCAATGGCGGTTTGGGTGAAATAGCAAAAAAATATTTGTATTTTTAAAATCAATTATACACACAAAAACATTCTGGACACAACAATTATAATTATCTGTTCCAAAATATCTAGTAGCTAAAAATAGTTCTGAAAATGATTAATCAAATAACTATCTAACAAAATTGCAAATAACTAAAATTTATAAGTTCAAGAATGACCCCTGATGATGAAGGGTCAAGTTCAGATAGTAAGGTTGAGGACATCAAATTCTTAGTTGATGACTATGAAAACAAGATGTCTGATGATGACAGCAGGAACATGCCACAAGCCAACACACAAAGCATGCAGCAGGATGACAACAATGACAATAATAACAATGATGACAATGACAATGATGACATGTGGCATACTATAGGTGCATAACTGGATGAAGAAGAGCTTGGTACCAGAATGGAGCACATGCATATGGTGCTTCCTGATCTGCCATATCCATCAGAATATCTCAAGTGCCAGCACACTGACAATTTCCTCCTTATGATCTGGCATATATATGAAGAGTGAACACAAGTAGGCATGGATGCAGACCAGCTGCATTTGGAGGAAGCAGCTGATTATGAACTCCAAAATGGTGTACTTGTCCATTTTATTGAGCTCAGAAGTCTATATGATACCGATCTATAGGCACCAGTACTTGCAAAATCTGCAGCTCATAAGTACATAGCTGCGGCACATATGGCATTGGCACATCCATAGTATAAGCAGCTCTATGGGTTTGTACACTGATGGATATGGTACCACCAGTTATCCAAATTAGTCAATGATATAACCAAATGCTGTACTGAATGCCAGATGACAATGATTCAGCAATGGCCTAGTATGGTAATGGTGCCTTCGCAGATGCCAACTCCATGGGAACAAGTCTACATCGATCTGCTTACAGTTGGTCCAACTGACAACCCTGAATATGAAACATTGGCCATTGTCAATGCTGCAAGTATGTATTTTGAAGTTTATCCAATAACAAATACTACTGCAGGTGGTGTCATCGATGTGCTCACTATGAATTGGCTCCAGGCATATGGCTGACCCCAGATTTTGACTTCAGATCATAGGCCCCAGTTTGACTATGTTGAATTCTGCAACTTCTTGCAGAGTAATGACATTGTATGGAACCCATCGTTGACATACTATCCACAAGCCAATCTTGCTGAAACTGCAGTAAAACGCTTCAAAAATGCCCTGAGGCCACTCTTGCTACAGCATCTGCATAAAAATTCATGTATGCATCATACAGCACGAATTGTAGATGCGAATGCTGTCACCCCCAACAGTACAATTAGATGTACTCTAGCTAAGCTGTTCTTCGGCGAATGAAATCAGCACATGATTAATGAGCTGGCTGATAACCTTTACCAGTAAGCACGTCAGTAGCAGCAGCACATAAGGCAACAAGCAAGACTGCATGCAAATGCCATTGTAGCACTGCACTATTTCTTACCCAGTGAGCTGGTGACCACTCATGCTCTCCCAATCGCACACAACATTGCTCAGGCACCAGAATACTGATGCAGTCCATACAAAGTAGTCCAGAGAATAGGCATGGTCTATAAGCTCTGTGACAGGTATGAAAACGTGCTTGCAAAGAACTTTGCTGGCACTGACTTGATGCGATACTGGGAAGACAACGATGGTGAATGGTGACAGACCAATACGTCAAGCAGACCCGGATCACTAGGAGCACCAGGAGCACCAGGAGGACCTGGTAGCTCCTTTGGATCATCCAGATCAAGAAGAGGGCCACCTAGTTCGCCAGCAGACAGTGGATCAGGATTGAGACTAAGCAGTCAAGGCCTGACTCACTTGATGCCAACACATTATGTGCTAGCTGCAAATGAGATGATGAATTCGGATGACACGCAGGCAGAAGCAATAGTACCAGTGACAGCCGAAATGTCCGAACCAGTGGGTAGCACACTGAATAGCCAAGAAGTGCCTAACATTGAGACTGAGCATTATTCTGCATGCCCAAGACTGAATGCATCGACCGAAACGGAGCACCATAGACCAGTAACATGATCATTGTCTCACGAAACAATCACGCCCCCAGATTATAACCCAGATCGGCATCGGGACGTTTACAGATGGGTTCGTGAAGGCCAGACCGATCGTGGACTTACAGTTGATCCCATTGCTGAACCTGACTCAATACTCGAGGGTTATCCCAACATCTCCCCAGGTATTAGTATGCTAGACGAGTATGGTATCAACAAAGTTCCAGGATATGCAAGTCTGTCGGCGATATACGAACGTGACAGCAAACAAGTAAACCTTGAAGAACCGATGACAAACAAGGATAGCACTGAGAGCAGCCCTAGCTGCAATTGTGACTCTGTATTGAATGGTGCTAATTTTAAGAAAACTGCTTGGCATCTTGGGCTCGCTTGGCAGCATCGGCAAGATATTCAAACTCGCCGGACTTTTCACACATGCTCCGGAAGATACTGCCTTGTCTGTTGAGCAAGTTGGCCGGAGTGTCAAACTCGGCAACCTTGCCCTTGTCCAGTACCAGCACGTGATCATAGTCGATGATGGTGCGCAGTCGGTGAGCAATGCAGAACAGGGTCGAGTCGGCAAACTCGGAGCCACGGATCGTGCGCTGGATACGGTCATCGGTATCGAAATCGACCGACGCTGTTGCCTCATCCATGATGATCAGCCGCGACCGGCGGACCAGAGCGCGAGCCAGCGCCACCAGCTGACGCTGACCCAGTGACAGGTTCTGGCTATTCTCCTTGATCTCGGCCTCCAGGCTAGTGAATATGCCCGACATGCGCTCCAGCGAGCTGTCGATGGCATTGCCTTCAAACACGCTGATTGCGGTGCTGGCGGTCTGGCTGCCACGCTCGCGCACCAGATGCGCACGGTGCAGCGCATCCCACACAATCTCATCGGGGTACTCGCTGAACGGGTCAAGGTTGAAGCGAATAGTGCCGTTGAACAGCACTGGGTCCTACGGGATGATAGTGACATTGCGACGGAGATCCTCCAGGCCAATCTTCGAGATGTCGACCCCGTCAAGCACGATCTGGCCCTTAGCTGCCTCGATGAACCGCAGGAACGCCAGCGACAGCGTCGACTTGCCAGCGCCGGTGCGACCAACCACACCAATCTTCTCGCCATGCTTGATCGACATGCTCAGGCCATGCAACACTGGGACATTAGGCACGTACTCGACGACCAGGTCCTCAATCTCAAGATCACCAGTCCTGGGCCAGTTGCTGACGGGCTTGTTCTCGGCGTCGACTGAGCGCTGGCCTCTTGGTCAAGCTTTAGATACTGGCTAACCCGCTCAACGCCATTCATGTTCAGCTCATTGTCGCCATAGTTCCGGATGGCAAACAGCATATAGTCTTTAAACTGCAGTGCATGTACCAACGCAAACCCAGCAAGACCGGCGTCGAAGCTGTGGACATTCCACAAGATGAAGAAGGCGCAGAAGAACGACACTGTTGCACCTGCGGCATCAAGTCGGACAGATACCCAACGGTTTGACACCATTGTTAGGTAGAACAGGGCGATTCAGCTCATCTGATCTGTTAATAGCCTCCATGACGTAGTACTTTTTGAGACCAAACGCGCGGATCGACGATACGCCCTGTATTAGTTCGCCAAACAGTGACAGCAGTGGCGCTGAGGCATTTGACTCGAGTCGCTTCAGTTCGCGGGTTGAATCCAAATAACGTTTGGCAATCACCACATATGCGACTGTGATGACAACAGCAACAGAAATGAATGGCGGCATAACTGCAGTGATGATGACGATAACGCCTAATGCAGCAGTGAAGTCTGCAAACATCCAAATGAGTGAATCTAGGGTGTTCGTGCCAATCGATTCCATGTTGCAGGGAGAACCGGTTAATGATCCGACCGAATGGCGTCGAATCAAAGAAGCGCGGTGTAGCATGGACAACTGACATGATTAGCTTTGCATGCACATTTCTGGTGGCTTTGATCAGTCCAGAATATGCATAGGCAAGCTTGATAAACAGCGCAAAAACTTCGATGACGCCGATTGCCAGGTAAATACCGATCCAAAACGATACTGTATGCTGGCCGACTATGTTGGTGTTTGCTGTTGGTGATACTGTGTCGATGGAATCGCGTAGAACCACGGGTGGAATTGCCGTGTCATTTGCCTCTACCCAGATGCGGATCCAGTAGTCTTGAACAATCATAAGCACATTTGTCAGGACGTTTAGCAGAAGCACAGCAATCCAATACCAGTGGCTTCCACATGCCGAGAAGAATATGCCCCAAACCTCCATTTTGACCCGCCCAGTCTCACGCTCCTCATTCTCAACTAAAGATCCTTCAAAGTTTACCAGATTGATATCTGCACCCAAGCCCCCGTCAATGACCAGTTTGTGCCGCTTCTTGCTGTTGTACTTGTCTTCTGATATCGGATCATTGACAGCCTTGGCCCGCTCGGCATTGCCATCATCATCGATGTCATCAACTTCCTTGCCCTTTGATTCATCGTCAGACTTGGTGTCTTCCTTGGTGTCGAGCTCAGTAAGTGTGGCAGAGAACCTGCCCAGGGCTTGCAGTTCCTGTGGAATGCCCTTGAGTGCATTTTTTGCCTTGATGCATCACTGCAATATACTGCGCATAGTGACAAGGACACAAGTGCGGCCATGCATCAGCGATGACTTGTTCAGCAGACATTCCATCAGGATGTGCTTGGCAGTGTATGCATCGACAGCTGACAGACAGTCGTCAATAAGCAGGATCCTGCGGTCCAAGTACACAGCATGCGCCAATGCAACACGCTGCTTCTGGCCACCCGACAGCATCACACCGCGCTCGCCAATCTCGGTCTGGTCGCCAGCAGTCAGGATCCGCAGATCGGGCTTCAGTGCACAGACACGCAGCACCTCCTCATAGCGCTGCTGATCATACGGCTCGCCAAACAGGATGTTCTCGCGGATGGTGGCATTGCGCAGCCCATGCCTCCTGGCGCAACATAGGCCAATATCGCGAATTGCTATCTGTTCGCGTGACAGCTCAATAACGTCTTGATAGCCCTGGTTCGAAGTGATGCTCTGGTCAGCATTGACAGTTGGCAGCTGAATAGACCTGCTGATCAATGTCATCTTATCAATGAGCACTGACAGCAATGATGAGTTGCCACTGCCTGTCGGACCAGCAATGACCGATAGCCCATTAGCAGGAGAAGCAAATATCGATGTCCTTGAGCCTAAATGCAACCTTATCTGGCTGCTCCTGCTGGCTGTCCAACAAAGCATCTGAATGGGTCAAAGCATCTGATATCAGTGGTATGTTCTCGTCAACCTTAGCCATATACCCAGTATCATCGGCTGAATTAGTCGAGCTGTTCCTATTGTATAACTGATCCTGATCACTAGATCTACGCCACAGTGCATACGCAAGTGTATAGTGGCTCTACTATATAGTTTCAGTACACACCAGTGCATCAGCAGCTCTCCTCAGTTTCTTTACTGTCACTAGTTATATACCACATTAAGTTACTAGTATCACAACATCTGGTAGCATCACCTAACTTTTCACGTCACTCCAATTGGTGTTGATTAGTAATAGCCATGATGAAGCTATCAACAGCTGACTTTTCCTGGGCCATCAATACGGCGGTCAACTGGGCACAAGCAAATGGGAAGTTTACCGGAACTAAGGTATCAATGTCCCTGACACACTGGAAGCGTGACATGATGGATATGTTCGAGGGACTTTGCGTAACGGATGAGAGAGATCAGTTCAAGTTAGCCAGTGCAACGATTTCACCGGAGCTACGAGATGCCTGGGCATCTTACCAGGATAGCCGCAATACGGACATCGTAGATGAGACGATGAAGCTACAGGACTCCTTTTCCAACCTGTATGATTTCCTCTACTCTAGGGAGGCAGCATCTGGAGATTCAGTGATTGCGCTGAGCAAGTTACAGCAGCTGACACTTGCTGAGGATGCTGAGTCAACAAATGAGTTCAACACACGTTTCGACCAACTGGCGCGCCAAGCAGGGATTAAGAGCGATGCACTACTAGCTGACCAATATGTCCTATGCTTACCGTTGACAATGCGGACCTCTGTTATGCGAAACTCGAACAAATTTCTCATCAGTAGGAAGGCGGCCACACTTCGAGAACTACAGTTTGCTCATCGCTCTGCAGCTACACACAACACTGCAAGGTCGAGCATCACCGGCTCAGCCACAGATGGTGAGCCTATGGAGGGGGATAACTTGAAGGTGCATGCAGCGAAGACCCGTTCACAGAGAACCATGGGGTATCGTGGAAGCTCAAGTATGCTATTCGACCGTGTTAAAGGCTGGGTGACATATGATGAGTTCACTGCATGCCTGAAGGCACGCAAGTGCATTGCATGTGGCCATGAGGGACACATATTTCGTCAGTGTGATGTAGCTCGCCAAAAGGGGGCAACAGGCAACAAGAACACAGCACAAGTTAACCAGCTCAACATGGAGACTGGTAACGAGTCGGATGACTCATTCTCAGGGAGCCCCTTGGGAAAAGAGTGTTGGAATCTCAAGATCTGATTACTGTGAACTACATAGCTTTTCATCCTGTCGTTCTTTTTCTTTCTTCTTCTTTTTGGCTGTGCCACCTGAGAGATGGTATAAAACCCTTTTGCTCGCCTCCCCCCTCCTTCTCTTTTGCTTTCTTCATCAATATATATATATATTCCTTGACTCTTTCACTTGCTATTGCTGACAAGTTCGCAGTAATCGGATCTTGTGATTCTAACAAATTATATCTTAATTATCCATGGTGTGCAAAGTGGTATTAGAATTACGCGACCCATGTAAACAAATGAGGTCAAGCATATGGAGTGTTGTTTCGTGGCCGATGATGCCCATCATGACGATGCCATAGCAATTGTCAGGCCAACCGACAATGGGAGTAGCTCTAAGGCTGAACCAATGGAGATATCCAGCAGAAACCTGTGACCCCTACAACCACAGCTTTCCACCCCGGTTTCACCGATGAGGTCAGATGCCTGCACAGCAGCAAAATCTTCAAAGAGAGGCAGCGCGTGGCATTTGCAGCTTTCCTTTTTTCCTTTTCCATTTTCTTTTAGCATTGAACTTCAAACTTATCTACGCCCTCTATTATCATAAAACTAGGTGTGTCGACTATATTAACAAGGAGGTTATGTGGGCAGTGTTTACGAGTATATAATCGTATGTGTAACTTACAACGACATTTAGAGCTAGTGTGGCTCTCAGATCGCCCACCTTGGCCATCATTATCAACATCAGATGAAGGACATGTGCGGAAACAATGAATATGATTTGCCTGTTCGTCTATATCACTCAAAAATCAGTATCATTCTACTTTGAGAGCTTTACTTGTGGTTGATGGACTGGACGCATACTGGCCAACTTTGCGCGGATAGGCGTCCATGTCAGTGTTTCCTGTAGGCCGTGCCAACGAAGGCTGCTGACGTGCCGATGATGAGCCACCAGATATACCGACTCGCTCATGCAATGGGCTTGGCCGGCTCTGGGCGAATTGGCCATCGACTGCCATGGATACAGGTCGGTTACGCATTGGCGACCCGATTCTCGAAGTGACAGGAGCAGCAATTCTCGACATTGGTGTACCATTGCTGCCCTGAGCAGAACCAGGATTTGCAATGGAGGAGCTCAGCTGAGAGAGCTCGCGAGCTCGGTCTTGCAGCGGCGAGCGCCTAGCACCGTCATAGCCGCCGTTTCGCGAACTGCCAGAATGGACTGTCCTGTCGTCGTCAAAATCCTCCTCCATGATTGGTCCTCATCATCGTCATCGTTATCACCTGATGCCTCGTTAGCAACCGTTAATGCCTTTACAAGCTGTGACATAGTCGGCAACTCTGATCCAGGCTCGATCTGGCGAAGAACATTAGATATGCTCGACCACATGTCAGAGAGCTGGGCGAGCTGGGCGCTTGTCTCCTCGACCCAGCTAACAAGATGCGGATCATCGTCGGAACCGGCGTAGGGGGCATGCTGATCAGTCCTGGGTTGTCATCCATCACGTCCTTGATAAGCAAGCCGGTGAACTGCCAAATGTTGCGCCGGATGACAGTGATCAGCGTGTGTGTAATTGTCTTCACTGTGCGCTTGGGCATATCGCCATGCAGCCATTTGCTCTTATCCTCACGCTTGTACCATTCGGACTCGGGGATCACAACAAAGTGGCGATGCGCCGCACGTATAATTGGCTCAAGGCGAAGCGACGGATGGCGCCTCGGGTCACCAAAGGGAGGACGGCCAATATTCAGTGGCAAGGTTGTGCCAGCAAACGGCCCAAACTGGCGCTCAGTGTCGCTAGGCAGAGACTTGGATAGCCGCCACAAGCACTTCATCGTCATATCGCCGAAATTCTGGACGATCCATGTCAACACCTGCTGGTGGCGGGTTGGCCACACGCTCCGAGAGACTCGACGTCATAAGCTGGATCAGCGACACGAACACGCCGGTGCGGTCAGCCTTGTCCAGAATCTTGACGATAAGCGCATTGAGCCCTTGAACAGCTGCTCTCTGTCGCGGAAGTGACTCGCTCCAGGCTCGCCCGACTTCAATGCAGGGTCGACAATTCGACGAATCAGCTCCTCAAGTAATGTACTCAGCGTGCTCTGTGGTACTGCCAGGGCCAGACGAGGATCGGAGAAGAGCTCGAGAAGAACGTTGTTCGTCAGCTTGCGAATGCGGTGCAGCGTCGACTGGAACGGCGATGGCATGGATGGGTCGGTAGGTCATGGTTGTATATGACCAGCGAACCTGCATCGCCATACCTGATACAATGTTGGATATGTTGTGGCGTATATGCGCCACCCCGGGGCTATTGAACCGTGACTCATTGCCCGACGGGTGGTCCAGGGAGTCCAGAATGGCCTGCAATCTCTCGATGGCCATCTCTGTCGCCTTTGGATCGTCGCCGCTTAGGTCTGGCAATGATTCCCTCAATCCACTGCTCGCGCTCGGGCTCGCTCATTGATGCAAAATCAGCTTGGCGCCGGTACTGCGGCATTCCCAAGCCGTATCCTGCGAACGACATCGGACGACCAATACCAGATCCCGCAGATTCGCTGTTGCGCATTCCACCGCCAATACGAGAACCAGGCAGTGACGTCGGAGGTGTTGCTAGTGGTGGGTGTCATAGTAGCTCGTGCGCTGGGCGGGAGGACGGAACGGCGACGAAATTGCTGGTTCCGCTGGCTCAACCGGCGTTGCTGAAATAGCCCTAATTCCCTCCGATAGGCGACTGGTCGCATTGCTACGGTTCAAAGCCAGACCAGTCTGGTATTCTGTGGTAGCCGCTGAGTACTGAGGCAAATTCAAGGCTATCTGAAATCGAGGCGTGAACACGGGACGCGACGTATACGATGGCCTGCTGGATGATGAAACAGGAGCCGGCGGCGGGGGCTGAGCGGCCTGCTCAGGGAATGGTGCTGGAGATTTGCTTCCATGTCCAGTAACAGAGGGCGGGGCCGACTCAGAAACCTGGGCCGGCCGATTCAGACGGCTGATACCCGAAGTTACTCCACGAGGAGCACCTGTTGGGCGACCAATGCCTGAAATTGGTGCTCCAAACATAGAAATACGAGACCGACCCCCAGCTGCTGGAGCTTGGCTCATTCGCGATCCTGGTCGGGACCATTCCATCGCTGCCAGCGTTTACCGATGCCCCTGATCCGACCCCAATGGTTGACCGCTTCAGCTTCTCTTCAAGCATCGTTCTCTCCTTCTCTGCCAGCCGTCCACACATCTTCCACAGATCATCGGCACCGCCAGGCAGTCTGTTCACCGATAGCAACCAGCACATTTAGTGTCGATGTCCGCACGTTGCTGTCGCGATCAGCAATTCCCTGTGCAATCAATGGAATAATGCGGGATGGCTGAGAGCACACAGCGCTGAGTCCAAGACCAGCTGTGCGCTCGCGAATCAAATAGCAGACAGCGTCGAGCGACTCTTGCCGAATTCGCGAGCTGGCCCGGTTTGTAACTCCAGTAGTCAAGAAGCGATGCGAACAGCTTGGTCGTAGGATATAGGTGGGCAACTTGCTGGCCCAAAAGACGCCTAGCCCGGGCGCGAACGGCCTCCTTGGAATCCCCAAGCCGGCTGATAAGCGCAGGCAAAATGGCACTCGCTTCGTACTCAGACCATGTAGTTCCCGGACTGCTCTGCAAGGCTGATCAGCTGCTCCAGCAAGTCGAAGCACTTTAGGAGAGTATGTGTGGACCCGTCGTACATGCGGATGCTGACATATTTCAGCACAAGGTCGATGTTGGCCATGAACCGCACAGCCAGCGACTCGCCATTGTCTGTAGGCAACCAGCGGCAGTCCGTAGCGCTCCTGCGAAAGTGCTGGAATAGCCAAGACCTCGTCCAAAATCGTCAGCCCATTCAGGTAATCACGGTCCTTTGTAGTGGCCAGTCGAAAACAGCAGCCGATGGACGAGCGGGTTAAAGTGGTGGCCGATCTCTTGCTTAAGCTGCGCCTCCAAGTCGCCTCGGTTACGCGCTTCGCCAAGCTGCGGCCCACCGCGGAGTTCCGTGACCAGACATGGCCATGTCCTTGCGCGCGCGTTGTTCCTTGGCTCTTGTATCGCTGTCAAGAACAGGCGGGACCCCCTCCAACTCCTCGTTGCTCATGTGCGCCATAGATTGGCCCTGTGACGGTGTGTTGGCACGAAGTGACGACGCTGGGCGGCTACTGGCACCGCTGGATGGCCCACGAATAATCTTTGGACGCATTGATGACAAACTGACTGAAGGCGAAGCACCTGCAGGCCGTTTGACAGCCATGGGCCGACGCAGCATACCAGGACCACCGACTGTTGGGCCAGATGCCTGGGCTGGTGACGCAGGAGCAGTTGCAGCATGGCCAACACCAGTCGCACGCCCAATCAACTCCGAAGCAGTCATCACCGGTTCGGCCACTGGAGACATAGCGCGCTCGACTACACGGCGGGAAGGGGTTGCTGCTGCTGCGGCTGATCGCTTGGGCTCGCCGCCAATCCGCTGAGTGCCTCAGTTCTTCGATCATGGGCATCACTGTGCCCTTGGCCACGTCCTTGAGTTGGGTGTTGCACATGCTGTGCACGGCCTCGAATCCACAACTGTCAACCAACAGAGCAAGCACACGCTTGGCCTGCTTCCGCACGTCAGCATTGCGGTCCTGTAGGCACGAGAACAGCGATTCGCTGATATGCGACAGGTCGGGCAGCCGACCCTTCTGCTGGAGTCAATGTGTCAGGCCAGCCACTGCAACAGCGTAGACCGCAGCTCGGGTGAGGTCTCTGCCAACGCCAGGTGCACTGCTGGGAGGATTGCCTGGTCAACACAACCCGGCGTTGCTGTAGCCCACGCAGTCATAGGCCTGATACAGCAGCGCTGCGCACCTGCGGCTTTCTTGTCAGACATGCACTTGCATTGTCGGTAGAGCAACGATGCGAACACTGGTGGCCTGTGCAGCGCCGCTGTCGGTCGAAAGCGCCCCCAGAATACCCAATGCGACGGCAATCAGGTTCTTGTTCGAGTCCTGAAGCCGCAGTTTCAGAGACGCGTAGATTTCTGAAGGGATACTAGGCTGGATGCGGTGGTTTGCAGTTTCTAGAGCCGTCTGAATCGCCGTCAGTCCTTCCTTGCGCTTCTTCCAGTCGGCATCGTTAAGCATCTTGTATATTGTGTTTGGCAGCAGCGTGGCTAATGTCCTGACGTGGGAACAGGTCGTCCATCGGATCATCGCTGCCGGCTCCAGCCGCTGCTCCAGCTGCTCCAGCAGCCGCACCATTGGCGGCTGCTCCGCTGCCATGGCCATCCTGCGTGCGGAGTGGGGTCAGGCATAGCTTTGATCAGCGACCTTGTCAAACTCGGCATCAAGCAGCTGCATCAACTGCGGGTTCAGATCCTCAACCAAGTCCTTGACTGCCGGACCAACCGCCCGTCGCAAGGTGCCCATGACCTGTGACTGCCTTTGCACGCGTTTGCGCGTTGCTGCTCATGAGACCGGATTCCTTGACCATGCTGACAATCGGACGCAGGGCCAGTCCCTTGATGCCGAATTCGAGCAGTAGCGAGTCCACCCACACGAGACAGTCCGCCACGACCTTGGGACTCTTTTGGCTCTTAATCGGCTCGATGGCTTGACCAAGAAGGAACTTCAGGGTGAAGCGCTCAGCAATGGCAATCAGAGCATTGCCCTGCAGGACCCTTCAGCTTGATATCGCCCAGCTTGTCGACCAGATGCGGGATCGAGAGTGCTGCAGCGCCAGTATTGAATTCCAGCGACCGCTCGCTGGCCATCCACTCAATGACCTGGAACACGCGCGACGTGACCTGGAAGTTGCTCTCCTTCCACCCAGGCTTCTTTGAAAACTGACGAACGACCAATTCGGGATGGACTGGCGACCCAGCCAGCGGCTTGGTCTTCAAGATGCTGCTTCAGCATGTCCATAGCTTCGACGCGATCCTTCCATTTGGCGCTCTGGAGCCCAGTCAGTGCCTCAGCCGGCAGAGCATCAGCAAGCCTCTCGTCCAGATTATCGTCGTTGGCGAACCGCATACGGACCGTGTCATCAGCGCCTTTGCTACCTCCACCGGCGGTGGCAGCACTTGCAGCAGAACCACCTGCCTTTGTTGCGGCAGCAGCAGGTGGCCGTGCACTCAGCGGCTTCTTAACTGGAGCTGCTGCCTGCAGGGCGAGCAACACGAGCAGGTGGGGCTGCTGGCCTTTGGAGCAGCAGCAGCTGCTGCTGCTGCTGGAGCAGGCTCGGGTGGCAAATCATCCAGAGTCCGACCCTCGCGCTGAGCTTTCTTTAACGCAGCTGCCCGGGCAGATGCCTCGAGCTTCTTGCGGAGGTGCGGTGGCATATTGGCACCTACTCCAGCGGGCTTTTCCTCCCTTTGGAGCCTCTTCGACTGGCGCTGGCTTTGGCGGCACAGGCTTTGCTCTTGGCGCCGGCTTACTCCCAGGTGCTGGTCTGGCTCCAGGCCGTGCAGCCACTGGCCTGGCTCCCGATCTTGCTGGCGGCGGTTTGGCTACAGGTTTTTCCGCCTTGGCCTTGACGGCGGCCTTGTCCATGTACTCGGTGACCTTCTCCATCTTGATCTTGTCAATGCCCTCGATGAATGGCTCCAGCACCTTCATCGTGACCAGCTTGCCCAGCGTTCCCAAACATTCAGCCGAAGCCTCACGCACACTAGCATCTCCGTCGTCGAGCCCAGCCTTGAGCTGCTCTGAATACCGCTTGACATCCGATTTGCTGGGCTTGGTGCTGACTTCTGACAAACACCGCCGCAAAAAGTGGGCGGCCTCTGCCCTGACCTGCGGGTTTTTGTGGGTGGCTCCTGTGAAATAGTGGTCGCCAATTGCCGACAGATCGCGGCTGACGGCGATAAAGTAGTTGTCCATAGTGACCCGGATTGCATCGATAACCGTCTGCTTGCGCTCCTTTGACTTTTCGACCAGGCCGGGCAGTGTTGACTGAGCATAGGGTGCAAAGGCCGAGCGCATGGTACCAGCAAACTGGCCCAGACACTGGATGACAATGGTGGCCACGATGATGTTGGTGTCTGTAATGCGCTTGCCCATGTCCTGAATGAGATCGCCAGTCGCAGAGTTGGGCTGCAGGCGTACGGATTTTTGCAGTGTCTCATGCAGCGCTTCAATGACCTCCTTGCGCTCCTTCCACTTCTTTGACGTGACCAAGGCGTGGAAGTCATCGGGGAGCTTCTTTGTGATATCGACAGGATCCGCAAGCTCCCATGCATCCATTCCGCCATCCACATCATCGCCCTCCTCATTGCCTCCGCCGGCACCCTCGTCTGCAGCTCCAGCCGACTCATCAGACTGCGGCTCGTCAACCTCCCGCTGTGACCGAAGCAGGCGCTTTTGTGTGGGCCGCGGTTCGCCGGCAACTTTCGCAAACTGTGTCTCCAGCTCCTTCAGCAGTACTGGCTGCAGGTCCTGCAATGACGGAACCAGCGCCTGGCCAATCCACCGATACAGCTCCACTGCCAGTGCCTGGGCCTCGCTTCTCACACTATTGTCGCGGTGGCCAAATGGCTTTGACAATGCCTTGATCCACGCTCTTCAGGCTTTATGAACTTGATGCCGAACGCGCTCACCAGCTCGCGCGCCGCCTGACACTGCCGCAGCGATAGCCTTGGGTGTCTTCGCGTCGAACCCCTCCACAACTCCCTCGATAACAGGACCGGGCGTATCTGCCTCGCTCAGCAACATCAGAAGCTCCACGCTCTGTGTCCGTGTAACAGCCTTTGTCGACGCTATACACTTGCTCACAACACCAGCTACTATTTCGCTGCGGTACCGAAGCGGGCTAGGTGCATTTTCAACAAATGCCATGACGGTAGCAACGCCAGCCTCCTGCGCAGCCATGTTGGTGTCGAGAATCATTTTCGTCAGGTACTGCTCGACCATATTGAAGCGCGCCCCGTCGTGATCTGGGTCCAGCGTCTTTAGCTCGCTAGGTGACGCTGTTGTAAGCGGCCATGCGCACCTTCCAGACCTACATTTCAGCGGTGCTTAGCAAATGAGAAATAGACCCGGTGGCAAATCTAGCTGCTCCTGCTCAGGGTTGCCCATTACCTTGTGTGTCAGCCGCTGCTCTAGCGGCAGGCTCGAGTAGTCCTCTGCATCAGCCATAGGCACAGAATATGAGTTGGAATGTGCAGAATAGTAAATTGAAAATTGTCAAAGTGAAACGGAAAGCGAGAACACGAATGCACAAGCCCCTGGAGTTTTTTCTCGTAAACACAGCAGCGGCTCGGCTCTCTAGCCGGCGAGCCGAGGGGTGGCTGTCTTGTACACGTGATTTCGAGCCGGCAAAAGTGATTGACAGGCTTATTGTTGCTTTCTGAGTGAGCCTATTTTCGAGTGCCGACGATTCTGCAAGTCTTGGGCGACTGTGAAGGAGGATAATAGTCTCAGGAACTCTCTTTTGTCCACCAGCCTTTTTCTCCGCATTTTTTATTTTCTACTACCATGGATAGCTCTGACCGCCCATGGCTCGCGTACCCCGGGTCCGACGGCGTCATGCACACGTTCGAGTCGCTGGGCCGCAGCGTCTCCCTCAACAACAGCATGCCTCCAGCGCCGTTCCACTATGGCGGGCGGCCCACATCCTCACCAAACAACCACAACAACAGCAGCAGCAACCTCAGTATCTCCAGCCGCCCTAGCAGCCAGCTCAGCATGCAGAGCAGTAACAGCGCGTTCCTCAACACCATCAACCCACAGATTCGGCGCAAGATAGAGGCTGCGCAAGTCTATTTTCTCGACTACTACGTCGACCACCTTGCCTACCTCGCCAACCGTCGCGCACGCCTTGAAAAGTTCAAGGATGCGATCAAGAGCACACCCACATCTGCCCAGGACGCCCAGCGCTCGTGGTCGGCTCACTGCCACAACGAGACCGGCATTCTGCGGAGACGGCGCAACAGAACCAGAGAACGCGAGTTTGACATCCTGGCGCAGATTGGCCAGGGGGGCTTTGGAAAGGTGTTCCTGGCGCGCAAGCGTGATACTGGCGAAGTCTGTGCTCTCAAGAAGATGGCCAAGCAGAGACTCGTGAGACAGAACGAGGTGCACCACATCCTGACCGAGCGGGATATTCTGAGAACCTCAAAGTCGCCATGGCTCGTCAAGCTCTTGTACTCATTCCAAGACCACCACCACCTGTACCTGGCCATGGAGTTTGTACCAGGCGGTGACCTCCGCTCGCTGCTCATGCAGAACGAGCTGTTCCGCTGGCGCATTGCCCGCTTCTACTATTGCCGAGGCCATCGCTGCTGTTGCTGCTTTGCACGATTTTGGGTACTTCCACCGCGACCTTAAGCCGGAAAACTTTCTGGTAGACGCGACCGGCCACCTCAAGCTGACTGACTTTTGGTTTGTCACACGGCCATCTGAGCCGGCCCACGCTCGAAGCCATGCGCGAAAGGACTCAACAGAGTCAAGGATCAGGAAGTCGTGTTCCACTCGTCCAGCGAAAAGCGCTCGTTCTCTCGGCTCACGCAGGTCCCTAGCAACTCAAGCCGTGCCTTTTCATCTGTCGGCTCACCCGACTACATGGCGCCCGAGATCCTACTGACGTCAATGGCATTTGGCCGTAGCCCCATCAGCCTGCCGCTCCGCCAGTCCGTCGTCCCTCTCGCTCTCGTCTGAGGACCCTCTCGCGGACGCAGCACACAGGCTATCGACTTCCGCACCGACTACTGGTCGCTTGGCTGCATTCCTGTACGAGTTCCTGGCCGGATACTCGCCGTTCTCGGGCCCTGACAACGACACTGTCTGGATCAACGTGTTCCACTGGACCCGGACCTTCCAGAGACCAGACTTTGAGTCCCAGGAAGGAGAGGATAATCTGACGCCCGAGTCTTGGGACCTGATTAACCGGCTGATATGTGACCGTGAGGTCCGCATGTGCTCGCTCAACGAGATTTCAACTCACCCGCTGTTCCGCGGCATGGACCTGTTCCACTTAAGAGAAACAGCTGTGCCGCCGTTTGTGCCCGAGCTGCACTCTGATGCTGAGACCTAAGCATTTTGACGACTTCAACAACCCTGATGACATGGCGCACTACAGGGATGTCAACAATCGGTGGGATGAAACCAGTAGCCTGGATGATGTGGGTGTGGATCCAGCTGCGTTCATTGGATTTACATACAAGCACAACCGCCAAGGCACGATTTATTTGAACATATCATGCTTGTTGATTTTGAAATCGGCAACGCATTTCAAAGGCCATCATACCAAGCCAACCACATAAAAGCCTGACATTATAGACCGCCCAGTACCCGTCTTTTTCTCCTCAGTCATTTTGATCCTACTTTGTTTTTCCTATAAAGCTCAATCGCACTTTAGTCCCGTGAAGGTCAGCAATACTATCCTATGCCCTAATAAAATCTACTATGGTGACACCTGGTAGTAGACATCAAACAAGCAGCGATGATTTTTATATGTTAAATATGCAGCTATTTTTACAGGTGAAGACCGCATAGAGCGTAAAATGGTAGGTATATCAATGAGATTGTGTAGATATGGAGTGAAGTACAGTCTCATATAGCATACTGTTGTTTTAATTATATACAGAGAGCAATGGTGAGGTGGGAAAAACGAGCTGGAGAGCAGGGAACCAGGTCTACTCATTTTATATGAATTAGACGAGTGCTGTTGACAGGGAATGACAACTTATTCTTTCCTCCTCCTCCTCCACAGTCTATCGTTCTAAGCTCCTTAGGTCTTGTCTGGCGGTCTCTTGGCAAAGCTGTTTCTCACGAAATGCGCAGCAAAGCCTCCTATCCTTGCAGTTCATAGAGAAAAGACAAAAGAAAAGGCTGCAATAGACAATACCAAAGTACTGCGTGGCAGTCTACCCTGCAGCAAAAAGTGAGCTGGACTACGGACTGGAGCCATCCATTGGCCACATATCCATGATTGAAAAGTGCTGGCAGCCCCACTTGAGCTGTAAGCTACTTGCTGAGAGGGATTCCCCAGAGCAGTAGTGCGAGAGACCAATTCAAAAAATATGCTGGTAAAACCATTTATTTGAGGTTAAGAACAAATGATGCAGCTCACGAACCATCCGCTGAGCCGCAGAAGAACTGCAGCGTGGTAGCCCAATGGCACTGGTAAGCCAGGTATATGTACACTAGTGCTGACAAAGGACGCGCAAAAGTTGAAGATGCTTAGAGTATTGCGCACTAATTTACACTCGTAGGAAATAATGATCAACAACTATGTCTAACTAGATGGTTCATACACTTTGACAACCCCAAGTCTATATGGCATTTTGCATCCATCATAACATGCCAACTTGAGCATTAATTCTTTTTGCTATAATGTCTATCAAATGTGCGTTTAATGAGAATACAAAAAAGTGTGTCTATGGAGTGCTCTTGCAGATATCCAGCGGTGGGTCAGATGTGCCCCATGTGATAATCGAAATGTACGTGACATAGAAGAGTGCAACCACGCCTACCGCAATGAGCACCATATCCTTGGTACGCTCCCACTTGGTGCGCGCTATCGACTTTAGATGCATGCTGGACGGGTAAATGAAGCTCAGAGGCACCAGACAGAACGAGCCGACCAGCGACACGACATTGTCCAGCTCATCTGCGCCGAAAATGGCAAATGCCGAGATGCAAAAGACGGTCAGTGTGCGGAAAATGTTCTTTTGCCACTTTACGCTGGCATGGTCGCGGCCCGACCGCTCGAACATCATGGCCTCGACGATCTTGACTGCGGGAAACAGCTGTAGGGGCATCGAGAATAATATGGCCACGGAGTAGAAGAGCTGGACTAGGATGGTCCACGACGACTCGTTAGGCAAGTTCAGCAATACAACAGCCTCGACGCGGTCGCCAAAGGTCATGTACGACAGTGACCCAACACACAGGAACAGGCCCAGACACAGGGTGATTGCTGATGTGAGAACCCAGCTAAAGTCCTTTTTCTCTTTCAAGCTCTCCAGAATCGGGATAACAAGCGTTATGCCCTCAAACGAGTACACGGCGGTGCCCACAAGCAGTGGGAACCGCACCGGATTGTAATGCATGATGGGCGCCGAACCATTCTGCGCGATTGACACCTACGTCGAAGCCAAGCAAGTAGCCCAGGCTGATAACGATCAGGATGTTGGCAACCATGGCAACCGGCGCAAAGTACCTGATCTGCCGGATCATCGCCAACGGTACAAATACAACCAGCTGAATTAGCACCCAGAAATTTCGTGCCCAGTGTCGCCTGGCACCCTGTCAGCGTGTTAAACACGTTGCGCCAGTTTTGCGCGACGAAAATGGTGTACGCGCAGCACCCGCCAATTTGCGCCAGCACAATCGATGCGGTTACCGCGTACTGCATTGTGCGCCCATACAGCTTCAGTCCGATTTCACTGTAGCTGCCGCCAACCTTCAGATACACCTCGGCCAGCAGGAGAATGCAGTGCCAGGCGTACGCTGCGACGCATATCATCAGCATACACGACGTCAGCAATCCGCCATTGTAGAATGCACGGGGAAGAACCAGAACGCCGGTACCGACAAACGCCTTCATGAGCAAAAAGAACGCCTTCTTGTTTGACGCCGATGACTGCAGGCTGCTGGCTGTCCGTCGCAGCGGTGTGCGCTCATCCGCCCTGCCTTCGTCCGCTGCTGCTGCCACAACCCGGCTGTCGAGGTACTCTTCGTCCTCGTCACTGAGGTAGTATCCGCCGGCAAAATGGCCATACAGAGCAATAAAGTCGATGAAACTCTCGGTCAACAGCCCCGGCGGCGCGAGTCCTTGGCGGCCAGCGCGCTCCTGCATGAACTGGCGGCGGAACCCACCAGGCACGTTGATCTGATCACGGGTGTATCCCAGATTCCACTCCGAGTCGGAGTCCCATCCCGAAAACGACCGACGTCTGCTGACCGAGTCTCTACGAGCATCCTCCGCCAGGGGCGCCTCACTGTTGCTTTGCTGTTGTTGCTGCTGCTTCTGCCAGCGGTAAATTTGGTGCGTAATGTCGCCCGACGGCAGCGTCAAAGGGTCAACCACCTCGCGGTTTGTGTCGTCAATGTCGTCGTTGTCGTCGTCATAGTACTCGTTGGTGTCACCTGCGTACCCGCTGTAGTCGTTGATACTGGTGTAACCAATCGACCCGGCGTGCACGTTCGACGACACCGAATCACGCTGCTTGCTGCTGGCAGGACGCGTGACCAGGTGCCGCTTCAGGCGCCGCGCAATTTCCGCCTTCTCCAGCTTCTTCCGGTGAATCGTTGACGAGGACGAGTCGCTGTCGTCGGCGTCGGCGACATTGCGCAGAACGCGGCTCATGGGCGACGTTGTAGTGTGGGACCGCGGGCTGGACGATAGCAGAAGCTCAGTGGCTCGCGAGAGACTCCCAGATATGCTGGCAGGCCGGCGGTCAGTGGGCACAGGTATTGAGGTGGCGGGTTTGTTTGCATTACATTGCAGGTGGGGATTGTTGGATGGGCTTTGCATTCAGGGGCAGCTTGACGATGCCATCGCCGGTGCTCACCATGATAAGCAGGTATATTGTTCAAAGGAGTGCAGGCAATGAATAGAGATAAAGAAACGGAGGGACGAGGAAGGAAAGGAGAATGGGGTGGCTCCATTGAGAGATGAACGCCTTGTTTTTATCCTCGGCAGAGGATATTTTCTCACCGCAATGTTTTTGCTCGATCAGGTGGTGCCTGCGCTGCTATCTGCCCGGCACTGCACGGCGCAGCCTTGACCCTGGGCGCGGGAAACCGCTCCCGATTAAATCCTGGCTAATCGGCATGCTCCCACACTGGCATATCAAAAGCTGTCGTGGGAATGGTCTGAAACTGTTCCTGGCCGGCAGCGCAGGCGGCTGGCGCACCCAAGCCTGCTGCTGCGGCTCGCGAAAAACAGCATGCCTCATTTGGCAGCCCCAAAGGGGGAAGAGGGCGTCACATGCTCAAACAGCAGGAGGTGTTTCGGCAGGCAGAGTGAGCGGCAAAGGGGCGAGCGGCAGCAAATCCTGGGTTGCGGGCTTATCTTCTTATCAACAGCCAGAGCCCAGGCGCGTGCACAGCGATTTGCCGTGCCGTCTATTTACTCTGGCTGCCCAATCGAGGACAGCCGGAGAATAAGCCCCCTGGTTAAAAGGACGCCGTCATTTCCCCCTTTCATTTTCCTCCTTCCCCGCAGCACACAGCGACTAGAGCATTCTTTAACCAACTCCTTCCTAACTCTATTATATACACACACACATGGCGGACTACGACGAAAGCTCATACTGGGACCAGTACGACTCGGCCGATTATGTTGAGAATATGGTGGTCGTACAAGACCCCTACACGAAACCCAGCAGATACCGAGACATTCTACCCAACAGCGCCTATAGTGCATCCGAAAGCTCCGGCAACAGCAGCTACTGGTCAAAGTACACCGAGTCCCGGAATACCGGTGCTCAGGACACGCCACAGGAACCCACCGGCCAGGAAATGCGACGAGTGCTGGTGTTGCCGGACCGACTGGCCGCCATGTCGCTAGCTGACAAAGACGAGTCCACTGGCAACGAATCCACTGACCCCCAGCCCACAGCACTGGAAGATTCCTTGAAGTCCACAGAACCCACGCTGCTTGCAAAGGTAGCGTCAGCACCAGCACCAGCATCGGCAGCGGCAACAATAGTGGAGGTACTATCATCGCCGCTGCGTGTCCCGCAGCTGAGCGATGGCGAAGATAGCGAGGAGATTGAGCCGATAGACTCGCCGTCAGGCCCGTGCTTCCAGGGCGTTAATCCTCTGGCACTTGCCGCTCGCCTTGGCTTCCTCAAGTCGCAGCTGGACCAAGCGGAGGAGCTCTTGGCATAAAGATAAATATCATCTGTGAATTGTGAATACGGAAAAAATTATTTTCAATGAAATGGGGGAAGAAAAAAACAAGTGAAAAATGAGGCAGTAAATTTTTTTTACAAGGTGTTGTTGTTGATGCTGGCCAGGCGCTCGCACTCGCGCTCAACGTCGGCTCTGCCAAACGAGGTTGGGAACCGTTTTGTTAGAGCAATCTCGGCCGTGGCCACGGTCGCCAGCGAGTCCAGCAGGCTAAATGTGGGCTCACAGAACCTTTTGGTTGGCTCCAGCGGTGGGCTGAGCTCGGCTGCCTTCATCAGGTACTCCATTCCCAACGAAGCCTGGATGCCGCCGCAGTTCATTCCCTCGTCACTGCGAATCACCACCACCGGCATCTGGGGCGACGATGGCACTGACGAATAATTTGACGATACGTCCTCCTCGGACATGGCACTGGCTGTCCGGTAGGATGGCACCAGTGCTGGCACAGGCGGCATCTGGCGCCCGTGCATCATCAGGATGGCCTTGGCGGCCTTCTCGGTTTGCTTGCGCTGCTCCTTGGCATGCTTCTTGTTGCCCACGCCTGGAGTCCGTCGCCGTCTCTTGATGACCGTGCGCTTCATTGAGATGGGCCGCACGACGTTGTGAAGTTTGAAATACAGTCCGCAGGCGTTGCAGATTACGTTGCCCTCAGTGTCTCGCCTCCACAGCGGTGTTGTGTCGACACCACAGTTGAAGCACACAATATGGTCTTTGGCAGGTTCAGACATGACTAATACTGGAGCTGGAAGAGAGGGTGGAATATTTGAGTATCGAGGAGCTTGAAAAAGATAATAATACAAAAAACAAGGCGTGGAGATAATAAAAAAGCTGTGTGAAGGAGGAAGATAAAAGATGAATCGAACGACCTTAAATAATCTCGCAAAAACTGACGACGACGACATCGACGCCAGGCCGCAGTGCCAACCTTGGCATCATTGTGTTGTGGCCGAATGGGGGATTTTTGAGAACGACAAAGATTATTTTTATAAAAAAGAAACGCGTGACATGGGCTCGCAGTGAATGTTGCAGCCAGCCAGCAATTTCCAGTTCGTCAAAGACCCTTGTTTTTCTCACTCGCTGCCGCTCATTCTGGCACCACCACACCACCACCACCACCACCACCACCCACTCGCCCATCAGGAGCGGCAGGAGCGGCAGGAGTGGCAGCAGCGGCAGCACTGCCACTCGCCAATCACTCTTTCGGAAATCAACCGCTCGCACCTAGTTTATTATTCAAAGCGTATTCAAAAGGGCGGTGGACCTTGCCAGAAGCTGCCGGAGGCGTTCGCACTCTCTTTGCAGCTCGTCCTTGTAGCTCTCTGCCTGCTGCTTTGACTCCAGCGACGCAACACTGGCCAGGCTGTCCAGCATCACCGAGTCGCCGTCGTCGTCCTGCGTCTGGCTGCTGGTACTGCTGGTGCTGGCTGGCACTGCTGGCACTAATGCTGCTCTTGCTGCTACTGGAAGAATCCGAAGCCAGCTCGACCGCCATCGCCAGGCTCTCAAGCCCACACAGCGTCGGTGACTCACACACTGTCGCATCGCTGTCGATGCTGGGCGACCGCTCGATGCGGCTGTGCTGCGGCGTTGTGCGGTTGCGGCGCTTGATGACCGCCCGCTTCATCGTCACAGGCCGGATCTTGTTGTGCAGCTTGTAGTACAGCCCGCACGCATTGCAGATAACGTTGCCGTCGGGGTCGCGGCGCCAGAGCGGCGTGTAGTCGACCCCGCAGTTGTAGCACGTCGGTGTCAGGCCCTGCTGCATCTGCTGCTTGGGCGACACCCGCTTGCGCTTGACCGCGTGTCCGTCCTGGCTCAGCTGCTTCTGGTTGTAGGCTGGACAGCCAGCGCACGACGAGCTGCCGCCTGTGCCGTCGCATTGGCCGTTGCCAGGGCACGTGCCGGCGGACTCGGTCTCAGTCGACGACGACTGCGATGGCGAGCAGCAGCTGCCAGAACACGACGAGCCGTCGCGATTGGCAGGCGGTGACGAGCGCTTCTTGATGGTCTTCTTGAGCGGATGCATGGTGTTGTACGCCTTCAGGTAGAGCCCGCACCGGTTGCACAGGTGTGCGCCTGTCGTCGGATCCCGCCGCCAGAGCGGCGTTGTCGTGGTCTTGCAGTTCATGCACGAGATGGGGCCGGCTGGCTGGCGGGCCACCCGCGGAGTGCTGGTGGGCTTGATGGTACGGACAGCCGGCAGCGGTGCCGTGCTGGCCAGGGGTGCTGTTGCCGCTACAGGTACTGTTGCTGCCACACCGCCAGTCTGCTGCCGCTCGAGCTGCTGCTCAGGCTGTGTCGAGATAAGAAGCGAGGAAATGGAGAATGACATGGCTATTATTGTTTTTTTGCTACTATGTACAGGCGAAGAGTGGAAATTGATGCGGTGGAGGAATGGAAAAGCGCAGGTGAGGAGAAATCTGATGATGCGCTACGAGATTCTTCCACCCCAGCTATTTATGCCTCGCTCTCGGCATCATCTTTTCCTTCACAGTGGGTTTATCTGACGAAAAGATAAAGAGCGCGGCAACTCAATCGGATAAGCCAGCCCCCGTCCCCCAAATCGCACCATCCTGCTCGGCTTTTCCAGGGCTTGGCTGATGATGATAATCTCGCTCGGAAATGCCGAGCACTCGTCGCACGCAGTAAAATAGATGACTTATTTTTCGCAATCTGATGAGAGCATGTTCCAGAACGATTTTCCGCTGCTCATTCTCATCCTGTGCCTCAGACTGCACAAGAAAAAGTACCGCTTTTGGCCAATTCTGGCGGCCAATTCGAATACTCAATGCAGCAGCGCCTTAAACCAGCACCGGCTGCTCCTTTTCACGCTGATTCCGGAATATCTGCAGACTTTGGAAGATGGAGTGTGCACCCAGTGCCGACTCGGGTTGGCAGCGACTGTAAACTCATAATACTTGCATTTATACGCTTTTGCCAGCTTTACACAGTGGATATCAAATTGCAGCAGTTGATTAGGGTGATTCTGTGGACCAACATAGACAAGACTTTAGTATAAGGAATATCCATTATACTTGGTACCGTAGAGGGGATAAGCACACAGCGAGGAGATGAAGAACCGTGCTGGGGTTATGATTGGGGTTCGGCTGGACCACATTATGAGCAGCTTTACCTTCACTGTATCAGTATTCTAATCGCTCAGTTTGATTGTTCTGAGAATTTCTTTAGCATTCTGCCGCAAAACTATAAAAGTTATTGGGAATATGCCAATAATGGTAGAGTAGCTTTGGCGCTATTTCCTGCAATCCACATGGCAGGGTAATACTCTTGCCTGCATGTACTTTATCTATTTGGCAGTTCTGTGTTGACATTCGGGCAATCCCACTCCCTTCGCCACCATGTGCAGATTCGAACCCCCATCTATATAAACATTGTGAGCTGGAGCGGCCCCACCCTCTCTTTTTCTCCTCAGTATTTTCTAGTCACATTCATTCTATATTGGTTATAGCTACTGGACTTTCCTAAGATCGACATATACTTGCCGGACTCAGCGTGGATATACTGAAAGTGCTGTTATATAAATAACCACTGCCTCCTTACGTTAGCCTGTTCGTCATTCACACCTCTATACTGCATTTAACCATTCCACTAGTCAGTTTTCTGAATATATGCCACGTATTTTGAAGAAATTAAGCTAACTTTGGCGTTCCAGGAGGTGGTATGATTGAAGTATGAGCTTTTCTGTCATATCATTCCCTAGATTTTGGACAAGGAGGTCAAAGCCTATCCTTCTTCCCTAAAGGAATCATTCAACCGCCCTGCTAATCGAGAAAAGGCTCTAAATGTTTTCAAGAAGACTGGGAAACAGCTACATGCCTTTCTCCATGTTACGGAGATGGTCGTGGTAGAGGAGGAGGTGCAGGAGATTATCAAGGTGTTCAAGAATGTAATTGACTGTGATAGAGTGAATATCAAGAAAACCTTTGAGAGCAAGAGGGTAGCGGAGGTGATAGAGATGGTAAGTATGGCCATCCAGGGAATAGAGCTGACCGGACTAGCTAGCAGTGGCATACCTTTTTCATTTGAGCATTTTCTAGCACTCAACTTTGGTCCTAGCCGCAAGCCGCAAGCCAAAGCTCATGGGTAGGTACAGAATATCTTTGGTGAAGCTACAGTATGAGCCCCAGACTTTGTTATACTGGCATAGTTGCCTTATAAGGGCGTACAAACACGCCGTTCAGTTAAACTAAGAATATTCCTAGTGATGCTATTTAGCTAGTCTGACAAATGTGAATACAAACACTATCGAGAATATTCGCAGTATCCAGAAAGGAACCAACATGTTTACATTCGCAGACTATTTTGTAGCCCCTTGAATGAACATTATGCCACTATCGGTGCTCTCCTGGGTGCTTTGAGACTTGGTGAGCAGTAATATATTTACATAGCACTACAAAACGTACATATCGCTCATGCATGCTTCTTTCAAACATTACTCACCACAAAATTATCAACGCAGCATATGCTTATTTCAGGAAATCCAACAATGTCGTACGAGGACGACCAGCTAACCAAGAAACTCAGGAGGATGGAGCATTTGATGTACGAGATAAACTATGGCAACTACGAATTGCGGGAATGGGGCCAGAAATATTACGACAGCAAGTTGGCACAAAGCAAGCACCTCAACCACCACGGAATCAATGCGTATTTGAAGAGAAATCTAAACAAGACCGGTGAACTGCAGCAGGAGGTCAGCCACGCTAATAGGATGCTCTTGGAAAAGAAGCACATGGTTGATGGCATGATCTGCGAGCTGGACAGGCTGGTTGCATCGGACCCGCATAATATTCGAGGCACGCATGAGGACGTATGGTCGAGGGATGCGAGAAATAGGGCGACTAAGTCTATTGAACTGTTGATGAAGCTCCGGGTCTTGAAGAGGAACTGAGCTGTGATGTGTACCTCTACGCCAGGTGTAGCGTCGTGTATGTCTGGGTATGGTGGGCAGAACACCGGTGATTCGGACATTTTATCCCTCAAGTGGGCTTTCCCTACGCTAGTCACTGAAGCATAGGTAAACTACAATGGTAGGAAGCGAATTCCTTCTACTTATATGCCAAGCAGTGGATAATGTAACTTTCGCCTAGCACACAATAAAACACAGAATGGCTGTGATCTGTGGAAACGGATGTGGTTTCAGATCGCTAGAAAACGGCAAGGTTGTCCATTGACTCTTGAGCAAGTCTTTAAAGAGAGCATAGTTGAACGCTTTTGGATGACATAAAATTCACTATATCTGTTATGCCTAGGCCGTTATATCGCAAGCACACTGTAGCCAGAGCGCTCCAATGTGTCTCATCTCGATCTCCTTTGTCCTCTGCTTCATTATTAAATCAGCTCTGCAGGAAGCGAACTGCTTGTCCATAGGACTTTCCTTCATCGTGGACTTTCCGGGCACTGGTGGTTAACAGCTGTCACACAGCATGTGCAGAGCCACTTCCAGCAATAGTACGAACAGATATGAAACAGAGGAGAAACGTATGTACTGTGCTCTTCAAGAACGTTCTCCATTCCCTGTGGGTAGAACCAGCAAGCTCAAGTCGGCACTGGGTGCACACTCCATCTTCCAAAGTCTGCAGATATTCCGGAATCAGCGTGAAAAGGAGCAGCCGGTGCTGGTTTAAGGCGCTGCTGCATTGAGTATTCGAATTGGCCGCCAGAATTGGCCAAAAGCGGTACTTTTTCTTGTGCAGTCTGAGGCACAGGATGAGAATGAGCAGCGGAAAATCGTTCTGGAACATGCTCTCATCAGATTGCGAAAAATAAGTCATCTATTTTACTGCGTGCGACGAGTGCTCGGCATTTCCGAGCGAGATTATCATCATCAGCCAAGCCCTGGAAAAGCCGAGCAGGATGGTGCGATTTGGGGGACGGGGGCTGGCTTATCCGATTGAGTTGCCGCGCTCTTTATCTTTTCGTCAGATAAACCCACTGTGAAGGAAAAGATGATGCCGAGAGCGAGGCATAAATAGCTGGGGTGGAAGAATCTCGTAGCGCATCATCAGATTTCTCCTCACCTGCGCTTTTCCATTCCTCCACCGCATCAATTTCCACTCTTCGCCTGTACATAGTAGCAAAAAAACAATAATAGCCATGTCATTCTCCATTTCCTCGCTTCTTATCTCGACACAGCCTGAGCAGCAGCTCGAGCGGCAGCAGACTGGCGGTGTGGCAGCAACAGTACCTGTAGCGGCAACAGCACCCCTGGCCAGCACGGCACCGCTGCCGGCTGTCCGTACCATCAAGCCCACCAGCACTCCGCGGGTGGCCCGCCAGCCAGCCGGCCCCATCTCGTGCATGAACTGCAAGACCACGACAACGCCGCTCTGGCGGCGGGATCCGACGACAGGCGCACACCTGTGCAACCGGTGCGGGCTCTACCTGAAGGCGTACAACACCATGCATCCGCTCAAGAAGACCATCAAGAAGCGCTCGTCACCGCCTGCCAATCGCGACGGCTCGTCGTGTTCTGGCAGCTGCTGCTCGCCATCGCAGTCGTCGTCGACTGAGACCGAGTCCGCCGGCACGTGCCCTGGCAACGGCCAATGCGACGGCACAGGCGGCAGCTCGTCGTGCGCTGGCTGTCCAGCCTACAACCAGAAGCAGCTGAGCCAGGACGGACACGCGGTCAAGCGCAAGCGGGTGTCGCCCAAGCAGCAGATGCAGCAGGGCCTGACGCCGACGTGCTACAACTGCGGGGTCGACTACACGCCGCTCTGGCGCCGCGACCCCGACGGCAACGTTATCTGCAATGCGTGCGGGCTGTACTACAAGCTGCACAACAAGATTCGGCCTGTGACGATGAAGCGGGCGGTCATCAAGCGCCGCAACCGCACAACGCCGCAGCACAGCCGCATCGAGCGGTCGCCCAGCATCGACAGCGATGCGACAGTGTGTGAGTCACCGACGCTGTGTGGGCTTGAGAGCCTGGCGATGGCGGTTGAGCTGGCTTCGGATTCTTCCAGTAGCAGCAAGAGCAGCATTAGTGCCAGCAGCACCAGCAGCACCAGCAGTGCCAGCAGTGCCAGCAGTGCCAGCAGCCAGACGCAGGACGACGACGGCGACTCGGTGATGCTGGACAGCCTGGCCAGTGTTGCGTCGCTGGAGTCAAAGCAGCAGGCAGAGAGCTACAAGGACGAGCTGCAAAGAGAGTGCGAACGCCTCCGGCAGCTTCTGGCAAGGTCCACCGCCCTTTTGAATACGCTTTGAATAATAAACTAGGTGCGAGCGGTTGATTTCCGAAAGAGTGATTGGCGAGTGGCAGTGCTGCCGCTGCTGCCGCTCCTGCCGCTCCTGATGGGCGAGTGGGTGGTGGTGGTGGTGGTGTGGTGGTGGTGTGGTGTGGTGGTGCCAGAATGAGCGGCAGCGAGTGAGAAAAACAAGGGTCTTTGACGAACCGGTGGACATGTAGGCTCTCAGCAAGTATCAGGCCAACCAGAAATTTCTTTTTCATGCTTGGGCTATACATCAGTCGCGTAGTGTACATATATCAGTGTCATATATACTTTTCTTATCTAGACTAATTGAAGACAATGTTCAACAACATGAGACTCACTCGCGGCTAAGATCTCTTCCGTACATCCATCTGCTGGCCCAGTCAATGGCAACACGTGTTCTGTTCCTAAGCGACAGCAGCTCACTGAGGTAGGCCGACTTCCAGAACCAGAAGGTGGCCACTCCACCAGCAGTAATGTTGCGGTTGAAGAAGGGGAGGTCAGCAATAGCCTTCTCGCTTCCGATGTAAGCCAGCGATCCCTGCGACGAGTACTTGAACGGACGAGTCTTTGCGTTCATCTGCAAAAACAGGTCGGTGATGAGGTCATCATTCGACAGATGGTTGAACTTACGCGCCAACCACTTGCCCTGCTGCGAGGCGACCTGGGCCAGCGGAGCATATGACGAAACAGCACAATCGCCGAGCGCCCAAATGTCCTTAGCACCCTTGACCCGCAAGTACTCGTCAACCAAGAGACCACGTCCGTTAGTCTGGACCTCTGGGAACTTCTGGCGAATCTTGTTGGTGATAGGCTGCGCCTTGATTCCCGTAGCCCACACCAGCAGTCCGTAAGGGATTTCCGACCTCGTGCCGTCCGGGTTCTGTACAATGAACGTCTTTTCCTTAACCTCCTTGACCATGGTACGTGTCAGGATCGAGATGTTGTTCTCCTTGAACGTGTCTTGGGTGAAAGTAATCAGCTTCTTGTCAAACGCCGGCAGCACATTGGGCATAGCCTCAACAAGCGTAATCCGCACGCGATCCACCAGCTCTGGGTACCACTTGGAAAGATCGTCCTCCATAAAGTCGTGCAGCTCTCCAGCGTACTCAATGCCCGTTGGCCCGCCACCCACGACGACCATGTGCAGCAGACGGTCGCGCTCGGCCTCGGTAACATCATCGAACGACGCCTTCTCGACAGTGTCCATAAGACGACGACGGATCTGGCGCGCATCGGCCATCTCCTTCAGGAAACAGGCATGCTCCTCGACACCTGGAGTGCCGAATGTGTTGACAGTGCCACCAACACCTACGACCAGGTAGTCGTAGTTGAGCTTGAACGGCTCTTCGTCCACCTTACCCTTACCAGTCAGGATCGCGTCCGAGTTGGTATGGCGCTCGAGCACCAGCTGCTTGGCATCAACATCGATATCAACGCACGCAGCCTCCAGGAACTTGACCTCGCGCTCCTTATGCCTCGTCAGCAGACGCACGGGCTCCATGATCGAGCGGTTCTCAATAGTGCCGACAGTGCAGCTGGGCAGCAGCGGTGTGAACAAGAAGTAGTTGCGCGGAGATACAACAACGACATTAAAGTTGGTTGTATCGAGGTTTTTGAGCAGAGTTGTGCTGCCCCACCCTGTGCCCAAGAGAACCAGAGTCTTCTTTGACGGGTCAAACGGCATTTGGTCGCTCGGGTTGCGGGTCGTGTACATGCTCCAGCCCATAAATCCTGCCGTGCTGAGTCCGACGGCGTATACTGCGCGCTTGATCTGGCGCAGCCGGGATGTGCGCGGCTTGGCCTGCTTGTTCAGCGTAGACATGGCTTGGCGCTGAGCAAAGGTTGTCGCCATGCGACTAAGACGAACACTTGTCCTCGCAAACATGATTATCTAAAAAAAAGGACAAGAGGAGGTTCTGCGGATCTATAATAAGAAACAAAGAAATGAAGCAATGTGGAGACAAGAAACAAAGGTCCAGAGTGCCCGGACCTTGACGCCGCGCCTATTCTTTATACTCTGAAGAAAAAACAGTCAAAGCGAGCCGCGGAAGGGCGCAGACAGCATTGAGCGTGGCACCCAGCCTGGACTTTATCTGTGACTCGCTTGCAATGGTGGAAAAATATTTTTTGGGGGTAGAGTGGGCGCACTGACGGGCTCCGGACACTCTGACTGGCTAGCCTAATCTCCGAAAGCAACCATGCCCTGCCTCGCTCCCCCTGCCCGCCACTCCTTCTTTGGCCGGACAACGGAACTGCATCGTTGCTCGCAGCCTCCGAGGGAGTATATGCACGTCGTCTGGGCTCTGCAGAGCCGGGTGGTTTTCATCCTTTTGCCGTCGGAATCTTTTGTAGCCCTTTTCCCCGATCCCTGGGCATTTTTTAGTGTAGAGTTTGGTTTTATTAAGCGACACCAGCCATAAATTTCCCGCGCCATAGATAAAAATTCCCCACTGCCTTTCACATGAGCTAATCCCACTATTCCGTGAAACTCCGGCCACACTGCCTGGAACTGGCGGTTGAGCGGTACGAGCTCACAAAGGAAATCTTTTGGTTCGGCCAAATTGTAGCCAATCGTCGGGGGCACTGGTTGGGAAAGAGGATTTGCAGTGGCAAAGAGGAAACATCAGCAGCATTTGAGCTTTGTGACGTGATTGTTGTCGTCCACATAGACCGTCAGCCGGTAGTGCTGCCGGTGGTTGTATTCGTCCTGTTCGTCCGGGTGCAGGATTCGGTATGGCGATGGCAGGTTGCGCTCGTATGCCTTTCGCGTTTGCGGTATGTCGTCCTCGCGCTCGTCTACCACCCAATTTTCGTGCAGATACCGGTTCATTAGCCGAGGCGACCAGTAGAACCGCCGGCATTCGTCGCCACGGATTTGTCCAGCAACACCAACAATATTGCAAAGAGCAAGAATGGCAGCGAGAGATAAGAGAAGCGAATTAGTCATTGCAACGATTTTTTGTAGGTTGATGAGAAAAGTATACGGACAGTTCAACAAGAGTCCTCACATTTCAATCTCACCGAGCCTGGATTTATACATGGCCGTTGCTGTTAATAATAGACATCTTGCACACTATAGCATGCTATTTTTCGAGGCATATCTCTCAATATCGCAAAGCAGGAAGGCAGTAATGAATTGGTTCGTGTACCTAGAGCATCTTGCGATGGCGCAACTGCACCAAAAGCGATCGAGCCGAGCCGAACCTGATTGATGCTTGCATATGAAGTCAATGAGTGCTAGGGTAGAGGATATTAGTAGCCTAGAGGCAGCAACCCAAAGCAAAACGTAGTTGCATTGCAAGGTCTTCACTGGAGATATCTGTGCGCTTGCAGCTTGCAGAGCTGCCTGGCTGCAGGAGTAGTAGAAAAGTGGGGGCATGGAGCTTCAATGATGGCCATTCAGCTGGCTGCCTCATTAAATCACTCGACATTGTCGACCACCAGACAAACAGCCTGGCCACTGCAGCTGCTGCGAGGGGTAGTTGCACCAGCTGTTGTTGCGAACTTGACTGCTGTTTCTGCCACCGCTTCTGCTGTTTCTGCCACCGCTGCTGCTGCTTCTGCTGCTGCAAGCGATCTTGGACGAAGCATATCAAAGTCGTCGCCAGCCACGTCGATGGTATAAAACACAGGTGAGATCCAGCAGATCCAGCAGTCATCCTCAGGCTACCTACCAGCATACAGCTCTTTCTCTTGCCGCTAATCAATCCCACTCCCTCGCCACCTTCCGTCTAAGCGTAGTCTTACTCCTCAGCCATGCGTACTGCCGCCTCGTTCCTTGCCATTGCCTCTGCTACCGCCTTTGCCCAGGAGATCGGTGCCACCGACGGTCCCAGCATCGTCTCGGGCTCCAACGCCATCTCAGCTCCGAACGTCAACAACGGCTGGCAGGCCGAGGGCTCGTTCTTCTCGGGTGCCAATGGCGGCCACGGCAGTCTGTTCAACAACATCGTCGGCAGCTCGTTCTCAACCGTGAACAGCAACAGCCTGTCCAAGGGTAACATCATCAACAACCCATCGTTCACCTCGGTTTCCGGCAACGACGGGTGGACTGCCAACGGCGATTCCAACCAGCTCGGTCCTGTCGGAAACTTCTTCGGCCATGGGTTTGTCCGCCGCAGCGGCGACGTCGTCTTTGCCAGCAACCACCACCAGCTGAACCGTGCTCCAGGCTTTGTCCACCCTGCCTTTGTCCATCCAGCCATCGTTGGTGCGGTGTACAGGCGCAGCAACGACGTCGTGTTCGCCAACAACCACCACCAGGCTACCGTTGCTCCGGGACTTGCTGCTCCGGGACTTGCTGCTCCGGGACTTGCTGCTCCTCAGTTTGTCCAGCCGGTCTTTGGGACTGCTGTCCCGCAGTTCATCCAGCCTGTGGTCCAGCCAGCTTTTCAGCCTGTGGTCCAGCCAGCTTTTCAGCCTGTGGTCCAGCCGGCTTTCCAGGCTGCCCCAGTCGTTGCTGCCGAGCAGAACGGCCAGAAGGCAACCGTCATCCAGAACCAGGCATAGCTCCTATTCTCATCACTAATATCTAGCCGTGCTGAGCACGAGCCCATTGCACTTGATGCTCTTCCAATATATCCTGCATTCATATCGCCAATCACGCAATGCAAGCCAATGCTGCCTACGTCATAAATGTCGACACACGCTATTGTCATCATCCTGACCAACAATTCGCGAGCTGAGCAATGGCACAACAGCAGTAGCCAGACCCCCGCCTCTCCCCGATTACGTGCATTTGGCTCGGCTTCATTTCAGAAACCGCACCGCATTGACAAAGGGACGGTCCTAGCCCAAAGAACAAATGCTGCGCACGCTGGCGACGGGGAGCGGTGTGGTTTGTTTGCGGCGTGGTTGTTCGCGGTGTGGCGATATCTGCCAGATAATGGCCACGACAAAGCCTAGCAATTGTCACAGAAACAAGCGGACCAGCCCTCGCCAAGTAGACATCAATTGGCAGAGACACACCAACAGCCTTGTTGGCTGACCGACAGTAGTGCAGACCATTTGCGTGACCGGTGAAACAAGGGAGCTGTAGGAGAATAGCTCCTACCAGCAATTGTGCCAACGCAAACTTTGAATCCCTACATCACAGGCAGCTCTAAAGGACAGGCCCGCCTAGTCCCGGATCTCTGGTATAAAGCCAGACCGGTCGCAGCCGGAGCCAGCCACCGCTACAAGCTACTGATCTCTACCAGCTCTTACTCCTCACAACTAATCCCTCGTCAACCACAGACTACAAATCTCCAACCATGCGTACCGCCACCACCTTCATTGCCATCGCCTCTGCCTCGGCTTTCGGCCAGGAGATTGGCTCCACCGACGGCCCCAGCATTGTCTCAGCCCCTAACGCCATCTCAGCTCCGAATGTCAACAACGGCTGGCAGGCTGACGGCTCGTTCTTCTCTGGCGGATCCAGCCAGGGTGGCAATGCCTTCACCAACATTTTCGGATCGTCTTTCTCGACTGTCAATAGCAATGATGTATCCAAGGGCAACATCGTCAACAACCCATCGCAGTCCCATGTCAAGGGTAACGACGGCTGGACTGCAAACGGCAATTCGAACCTGCTTGGTCCGGTCCAGAACACATTCAGCGCTGCTGGGTTTGTCCGTCGCAACAGCGATGTCGTGTTTGCTAACAATGCCCATCAGGTGAGTGCTGCGCCGCAAGTTGCCCACCCTGGGTTCGTCTCTGGCGGCTTTGCACCAGCCGGCGTTTCTGGCTTCGCAGTTCCTGGCTTCGCTAACAACGGTGTCGTCAGCAGCGTCTTCAAGCGCAACGGTGATGTCGTGTTTGCCAATGACCACCACCAGGCCAGTACTGTTGTTGGCACTGCCTTTGGCGTTGCTGCTCCGCAGTTTGTCCAGCCCGTGTTTGCTCCGGTCTTTGTCCAGCCCGTGTTCACTCCTCAGTTTGTCCACCCAGTTGTCGCTGAACCCATTTCTGCCTCTGCTGCAGCTCCTGCTGTTGTCCCAGAGGTTGTTGCTCCCATCGCTGCAGCTCCTGTTGCCAGTGTTCCTGTTGCTGCTGAGCAGAACGGACAGAAGGCCACTGTCATCCAGAACCAGGCCTGAATCAAATACGAGTACTGTTATCATATAGTTGAGCTACATTCCGCTAATCTTTATCTACCTATATATAAGATTTTATAACCCAAGTGTCCGACCGTCTACTAGAATCATTTTAATCGATTAAAAAAAGTATAGAACTTTTAAACCTCAAAGCGAGTTTGGATGACTTGCTCTGTAAACTCTTTTTTGATCTTGAAACCAGCGTGACAAGCTGTTATTGTAGTGGTCACAGATCTTCACTAGATATATCCGTTGGTTCGGCGCAAGAACTGCTCTCATTGTCAGTCGACCTGATAACTTCTATGGCGTCATCATGGTGTTCATCACCGGCTGCGCAACGCTCTTAGGATATTTATTTATGAGCACCTATTGAATAAGACCATATAGCTCTTCTAGCGGTCATGCAATATTTGTACACCTGCACAGAAGCTCCGCCAAGCAGTTGCCTCTAGGCACCCTGATCTCAGTGTGCTCACCCCACCGATGCTTGCAATCTACAACAAGCTGGCACCAATCCTCAATGCCTATGATGCCAAGTACAGATTCGCCAAAGACAGCCGATACTATGATGCCAAGGTAAATCCACTTAAGCATCTGCGTGCATACATTCGTCTATGCCAGCTTATCGAGAATGAGCAGCTTGGCAAGTTTCCTCCCCAATGCTTGCCTCTGCGGACATCATGGATCCCAGGCCATATGCGCTTAGACAAGCAAATAATCAAGCAGGTGTTTGTTTCGAAAACACGTGAGGAGGTTACCAAGATCAACGCAGCAAAGAGGACAGCAACAGAGGCAAGGAAAGCAGCAGAAAAGGGCGAAAAATTGGCCAAGAAGGCTGCACGCGAAGCAGCGAAGATGCCATCAGATGCAATAGAGGTTATTGCAGCAGACATTCCGGAATGTTCCCAACCCGCAGCCCTACCAGAGATCGAAGAACCCAACTGTGAAGTGCCATGGCCTTCTCCGCTGTACAAGCGAGTCATGTAAGCGGGCCATGGCATGATACAAGTGGGTCTATTTGTCTCGACTCTTGAACTGCGACCTCGCAGCAGTTCTGAACTTCAGACTCATTTTCCAGTCACTCTGTGATTCAGGCAGTATTCCTGAACGGCTCTGTCGTTCTACAGCCATTGCTGCCGATGCTTCCGGCACCACTCCGGCAACAAAGAGGCCGCGCAAGAGGCGTGCAGCAGCAGGCGATTCTGCTGCCAGCAGCAGTGAACCAGCGCTGAAGCGCCTACGCAGAGCAGGCCACCAAGGTGGGAGATGTCCATGACCACCATTGCACCAACAACCATCCAACACGTTCAAATGACCGGTTCGCCATGATGCATTTATCGACGTGTCAACCCATGCTGACTAGCAGCCGAGATCGCATCACAAGCAGAGCAATTCTAGTAAACAAATACGCACATGGGCACAATAGGGTGCCTCACAATACTCTTCTCCAAATGCAATGGTCCAAGTATTCTTTTCAGGTGATGCTGCCTTTATTTGCATTCTGCTGTTGTCCGTACATCTTCCAGTTGACACATGCTCAGGAATCCGGGGAATTTTTGTGAGTGAGGAGGAAATAAAAAAGAAAAACAGTCACAAATGATATCTCGCGTATTTTCAAATGCGCCGGAAGGGGTTTATGCAGCTGTCTTGTGTGCGGCGCATTATCTCGCAGGAATAAAAAAAACTCTGGCTGTCACAGGCTGCAATCCACCGAGTCCACCAGAAAAGCAGATATGTTTAACAAAAAAGAAAACGAAAAAGATAATTGTTTTGGCGTGGGACTCGGTGGCCATGGGTCCAATTGACGGCATATACCAGCGCCATGGCGCAAATTATTCAACCCGATATTATCCATGGCGACATCCATATATCCGTATGTGCCAGACGGATAATATATCGTCATCCAAAGAAAAGCAGCCCAATAACAAAGTCAATTGGACAACTACCACTCTGTGCGTGCGACTTCAACTCAGGGCAAACCGCATAAGCGTATGCAAGGCTGCAGCAAATGCATGGCTTAGGGGGGACATCGGTCAGACTCGGAATTTTATCGATTCCACAACTGCGGAGGCTAATGGAGAAACATTCCGCTGCCATTGGCCTGAATTTCATGCTTACGAAAATTCCCTCCGTTTGGCGCAGCCAATGTACCCACACGCTAGCCCACCCCGCCCCGGAATAAATCCGTCTTACCCGTCACCACGCCAAAATGCTACCATGCAATTGTTGATATTCTCCATACCGACTGTGAGGGGACAAACCTGGTATATAAAAGGGCATGGCCAACCCACCCTCACATTTTGCCTATTAAAGCTCAGTACTCATTACTACATATTTTTTTGTATTCCTGAATATCGTCAATACAAGCACACACAAAATCACCCAATATGCTTCCCAGATTTCGCCCTACACTCTTGGCCGCTACGCAGCGCGCCATTTATTTCCGGGCCCGTCCAATGTCCACCATCGTCCCACACACAGAGCCGCAGAGGAAAACACTGGTTCTCTTGGGCACAGGCTGGGGATCGACCACGATCCTGAAGAACATCGACACGAAGAAATTCAACGTTGTGGTGGTATCGCCGCGCAACTACTTTCTGTTCACGCCCCTGCTCCCCAGCTGCACAGTCGGGACTACCGAGAACCGCTCGATCATGGAGCCCATCAGACACATCGTCGGCAAGCGCAATGTGAAGTTCTACGAGGCCGAGTGCACAGACGTCGATGTCACCAAAAAGCAGCTGGTGCTCGAGCGCACCCCGCAGGCGGTTTCATCTGGCTCCAGTAACCTAAAGACCAAGATTTCCTACGACTACCTGGTGGTAGGGGTTGGCGGCACATACAACACGTTTGGTACACCGGGTGTCGAAGAGTACGCGTGCTTTTTGAAGGAGATGACCGACGCCAGCAAGATCAAGCGGCGGCTCAAAGATGCCATTGAGAATGCCTCGTTCGACAATATAACCGAGTCAGACCGCAGCAGGCTCCTTCACATGGTTGTGGTGGGCGGCGGGCCCACGGGCGTAGAGTATGCTGGCGAACTGCATGACTTCATGGTTGAGGATATGAAACGGTGGGTGCCCGAATTGGCCAGCAAGTTCCGGATCACGCTAATCGAGGCCTTGCCTAATGTTTTGTCGTCGTTCGACAAGAGACTGAGCGAGTACACGAAAGCGATCTTTGAGAAGAACAACATCGAGTTGCGCACCAGCACCATGGTCAAAGAGGTCAAGGACAAGGTGGTGGTCGTGCAGAACCCTGATGGCACCAGCGAGGAGCTGCCGTATGGGACGCTGGTGTGGGCAGCGGGAATCCGCGCTAGGCAGTTTGCGCACACATTGCGCGAAAAGCTACCAGATGCGCAGACCAACCACCGCGGACTGGTAATTGATCAGTATCTGAGAGTCAAGGGCGCCCAGGATATCTGGGCATTGGGCGACTGCACGGTGACGGAGAATGCACCGCTGGCCCAGGTCGCCTCGCAGCAAGGCAAGTGGCTGTCACGGTCGCTGAACATGATGGCAAGGGATAGGTCGGTCACTGATACGTTTTGTCAGATGGAGGAGAGAGCACAGCCGTTCAAGTACGTGTCTAATGGCTCGCTGGCGTATATTGGTGGAGAGAAGGCGATTGCTGAGCTGCCGTTCTTCAACCAGCACATTACGGTTGGTGGGCCATTGACCTCAGTGATGTGGAAGGGATACTGCCTGTGGGAGCTGTCCTCGGTTCGCAGCAGCATGTCGGTGGCTACTGATTGGATTCGGCGGGCGCTGTTTGGCAGAACCGTGAGCGTAGATTAAAATTGAATATTTCCTCTAGTTTTTGTACCCATGCAGTCATGAATATGTATTTCCATTTGAGCTAGCACAGTCTTAGTACCAAGCACTCCAGCCCTCAAACATCCTGGACAAAGAGTTCGGATCAGTAGCCTGCTGGATAAGCTCATTAACCTGCCCCTCAACGCTAATATTGGCATTGAGTCGCTTGCCCACATGCAGGATGGACCGGCTCGCCTCCTTATTGTCTTCGGCATTCATCGGCAGGGCGGCATTGGGCTGCGACGACATCCTCGTGCTGTTGATGCTGGCGGTCCGTTCGATCTTGTCGCGGCGCAGCGGGATCAACGACCACATGTAGAGTGGATCCACCTTGAGCACATTCAGAATAGTGATGACCACCCGGGCGTTCTCGCGCATCTTGCTTAGGGCGACACGGCAGCTCTCCTTGAATGTGGCCTCCAGGCCAAACATACCCATGCCGTCTTGCATTTCGCGGGTCAGACGGAACGGCACCAATTCGGGCACCGGTAGCAATCTGCCCAGATCAAAGGCAATGCCCAGGTCGATATGCACCAGCTCAGCAGTGCGGGTGTCCACAAGGATGTTCTGCAGATGCCTATCGCCGATGCCCAACGCCCAGCCGGCCATTGAGGAAACTGCTGCCGACCGGATATACACGTCACGGCGCTCGAACCACGTCTGGGCATCGTAGAACATGCTGTAGAAGAAAAAGCGGAAGATGGGCGGGGCCTGGGCGCACACGCGGGAAAAGATGTCGAGCTTCTGCTTTGGCGTCACGTCCTTTTGTTTGTGGACATTATGCACGGCGGCGCGCATTTGCATGGTGGTAGGCGCGTCAGGACGGTATTTGGGCTCGTTCTCGCGGAACCACTCGCCAAAGGGCATGGTGCTGTCGACCCACTGCAGCACACCACAGCGCTTGGTTAGCGGCACCACCATGTAGGTGCGAATATGAAGCCGGTCTGCAGGCACCATGAAGCTGTTGATGACCTGGAACAGCTGCTCAATAACCGCATCCTGGCGCATATCATCTTTGCCCTTGACCAGCTGCTTGTACCGTTGCCCATCGGAACCCAAAAGCCGCAGAATCTTGGGCAGATTGATGCCACCGGCCAGCGAGTACCCCTCAGACATGGATGAGATGAATGGCACGCAGGTGTAGTCGCCGGGCACCCCGATCGTGGGCCGGGCAGTGAACACGGGGATGTTTTGCGGCAGATCATGCAGAAGCCGCGAAATGCGCATCTTGCTGCCAAACCCGATAATCTTGTTGACCAGCTTCGAGCTCCGGTACTTTTCGGGAACAGCGCTGACAGCTAGCTCAATATAGACCTCGCACATCTGGTCGATGGCATCGACGATGCTGCGCAGCTCGGCATCAGTGGATTTTAGTTGCATCAGAATGCCCTGGGCAGCCTTGCACCGTTTCTCCTCCATGTCGTCGGTCTCTGTGCGCTCCCTGCGCTTGCTCGAGGCAGCGCTCGATGTGCGGTTAGCGTTGCGCAGGGCAAACAGATGGCCGATGATGTGATACGGGTATTCGACAGCCATGCGGTACACCAGACGCCTTAGCACCAGATGGAACGGGGTCTCGTCAGTGCTCAGCCGGGCACACAGCTGGTGGGCCAGCGGCAGGAACTTGGCGCTGGCAATCCGGTCCACGGTCTGCTGGGCCAGAGTCTCGGCCATTTCGGGCGCAGACGCATGGGTCATCAAGAGTGAGACCAGTGGGTAGACGCTGCTGTCGAACGACCCGGAGCTCTCAAGGCAGCGCGCAAAGGCCCACACGGCAATCCGCAGAAAGCCCGAGATCTGCGACCGCATGTCCAGGACCTCGGCTTCATCTTCGGCCACCTGGGCCTCGAGCCGGCGGAGAATGCCCCGGAGCCGCGCCTGCTCCGAGCCATGAGACTCACGGATGGCCAGCTCGCACGCGCGCAGCTCGCTGTGCTTCTGCATGCGCACGGCGATGGCCGCCTCGTCGTCCATAGAGCCCAGCAGCTCCTCGCACTGGCGCTCGGCAAAGGTCGCCAGGACATGCAGAGCCTTGCTGGTCCACGCTGTGGGCTGTGCCGAGTGCAGGAGCGCAGCGGCCGTTTTGAAGTGCTCCTCCCACAGCACCGCCGGCCGCTCGATGCGCTGGCAGTCCATCCACTCGCCGATAGTCAGCGTGACGCGCGCCAACAGCATGCGGTCCTCGGCTGTGATCTCTCGGCGGTGCTGCGTCAGCATTTCGATGGCCAACGTGCGGCTGCCAGCCTCCCACAGAACTTCAGCCTCCCACAGGCGCAGCTCAAGGTCCTCTGTTGGCGCCAGAGATTTCAAGCGGAACACGTGGTTCATGGCCGTCTGCCAGTTGTGGGCCCGGCGCGACACATTGCAAGCCTGCAGCGCAGCCGCCTTGTACTGAGCAAACACCGCCGGTACATCGAGCGCCTGGCTTTGGGCCATGGCATCGCAGACCGAGATCTCGTGTAGCGCCAGGTTCAGCAGATACAGCGTCTCCTGATCGCTGCCAGGCCGATCGGTGCCCACACGGTCCAGCACTGACCGGACGATTCTGGCGGTCACCAGGAGATCGCGGTTCTCGAGGGCTTTGTTGGCGATCAGCGGCATCAGTAAGCCGACAGCCTTGTGCACCCACCGCTCACCGGTGCTATCCTCCCGCACCAGCAGCTGGCGGGCCGCCCGCTCCGCTGCCGCTGTCTGTCCGTGGGCCCGCAGACTTAGAATATTAAACAGCGTCTGCTCGGTGCTCAGCTGGCCGCCCAGCAACACCGAACTGGTGCCCGCCGGACAAACAGGCGCTCCAGGAACCTCCCATTTGGCCAGCCGCCATGCTGATGCAAACGCCGCGTCGCCATGGCTCTCCGGCGCTACCGCGGTCAGCATGCCCAGCTGCACCAGTGTGCTACCGATCTCCAGCCCATTGTTGTCGCTACCAGCGGCCTCCTGGTACATCAGCAAGGTGCGCCAATCGGCCTGATTCCAGCACCGCCGCATCACATCGCTGGTGGTTGCCACGCTGGTCAGCAGCCGCGCCGCCGCCTGATTGCCTAGCCGCTGATACGATGTCATCAGAAGCGCACGCGCATCGCTTGTCAGCTCGTCAAGCCGCGGTCTCGCTTCATCCGAGCACGTCAGGTCGCATTCCAAAAGAAGCACTGCTGTCTCAGGCATATCCAGTCGGGACGCCAGTGCAGCCAGCTCAAACAGAGGCAAGGGCACCAGTTGCAGAAACTCGCGGATATCCGCGTATTTGGCGTCCAACCGCCGCACCTGCAGCATCCGCGCCACGATCTCCCGCGCCAGCTGCGGCGACTCCTCACACCAGTTGTGCGCCAGGTCCAGAAGGAACCCGGCCACCTCGCTGCGCATTGTCTGGCCTGCCCGCAGCACTCGGTTCAGCACCCGCGGCAGCAGCGGGCCAGCCACGCTCGGGTCAACCGAGAGCAGTCCCAATGGGTACTCTTCACCAGTACACTCGGGCCGCGACGCCAACGAACATGTGAGCTGACATAGCGCCTGGCTGGGCGTGGCTCTTTCCGGACACAGCGACAGCAGATGCGCATCGTCGAACTGAGTCGCGAACCGCAGTTCCTGCGGCTGCCGTGGTATCGACCGCATCAGGTGCAGGCTCGAGAAGATCCGCCGGTCGCTGTCTCCGAGCTTGTCGGTTGGGTCGTCCATATGCACCGCTGCATTGATGGCCTGGCATACAACCTCAAGGTCTGTCGCCTGCCGGAATGTCCGGCACACCAGCCATGGCAAGTCATCGCTGACATCATCGCAGCTGCCTTGAGCCTGACTGCCTGTTTGCTGCTCAAACACCTCCAGCAGCAGCCCACTCTGCATTAGCGGCGCCAGCACTCGCTCCCTCGCGATCTGGTCGCCGACAAACCCAGTAATGTGCCTGTCGACCATCTGCTTCACCTCTGTGAGCTTCACAACGGCAGATACCGCCAGATCAAGTTTACCTAGTGAGGTAGCGCCTGGCGAATCCTCCGGTACTGTCAGCTGCAGCAGCCGCTCAGTGCATTCGACCAGGATCTCCGCACACGCACCAGCATAACATTCGAGCCTTAGGTACCGCGTCGCACACTCGGCTATGTCGGCCAGGCCCATGCGATCATCAGACTCCCTGACTGCTGCAACAGTGACAACAAACCCTGGCCGGTGGCTGACCATTTCAGCGATCTGGTCCAGAGCTGACCCGAGCATTAACCATGGACCCCCGGATTCGTTCGGGTAAGCCCTGGCCACCGCGTCGATGACAGCCGCGAATATCTCCGCAAAACGCAAACTGTGGTTGGTTTGCCGCAGCAGCGAATCAGCCATGCCCGCCAGTAGATCCACCGCACACTGGCAGAACCTGTCGCGCGGACAGCGATCGAGCAGCAGGCATGCACATGCAATCTGCACATGCTCGGCTCCACTCCACGCATTGACAAGTAGACGCGCCGCCGAAATCTGCACCACATCGCTGCCTGCTACCTCGCTCGATACTATGTCAATGAGCAAAAGAACCGCAGCCAGGAGTCGCTGCCGATCGTACCCCACTCGTGTCTGTGCGAGCTGCAAGTGAAGCCGTGTGATTAACTCGCACACGCGGGCGCCGGTCAGGTACTCGTGGACTGAGCCCGCGCCATGAGCTCGCGCAATATGCTCAATCGCACCAATAACCGGCGCACGGCCATAGTAGACACTCCATTGCGGCATGTTGGCATTGGCATATTGGGTCTCTGCAAGCCCAGCGCAAATCCGGCCAGCAGACGTAAGCTTACCAATGTCAAGCTGTTTGATCGAGACCAACCGCAGCAGCTGGAATACCAGGTCGGATGACCGATCGGTTAAAAGATCCTCGAGAACAAGAGACGTGAACTTCGGAACCAGCAGTTCCTCGCGGATCTTCGCATACCGGTCCACATCCGCTGCCGATATCACCAAGGCATGTGCAAACAGGCGCTCGAGACAGTAGTTGCGGAGCCCCGGAGCCAGACCACTGACCAACTCCCCGGCCCTCGCAATATCACCCTCCACCATACGATCCACTGCCAACTCTGCCACCACCCGGTCGCCAAACTCCGGGTCGCCGCTGGTGAGCCCTGCTGGCAAAGTGTCAAACACGTCTCTGTCTATCCGCAGTAGCTCAGGGACATACCGGGAACACATCGTCACCACATCAGTACCGCTGACAGTTTCCGCAATATACGCCAATAGCCGATGGCAGAGACTCGACACCACATGCATGTCCGCTGTGAGCTGCTTAAGCAAAATCACCAGTGCTCCAGGAACAACACACTGCGATCTTGCCACCAGCATCGCCAGGCCCAGGTCGCGCGTCACTAGGTTGCTGATGCTACCCGAGGTGCCTGCCATTTCATACACCACGGCGCCATCCATTGTGATGAATTTGAGCCGCAGCCGGTGCCCAGCGAGCTCAGCCTCAGCCGCCAAGCGCGCACCAAACCCGGGCGACATCTGCACGCAGTCCGTCAGCACATCGACGCCGGAACCCTCCAAAGCTGACAGCGCTCTGCCCAAGCCATGCTCGTTGCGACTCCACGGTCCGACAATCAGCCGAATAAACGCCGTTTCCACACACACGTCGACTCGCCCATTCTTGGCCTCCACCGCCAACCACGCAATGAACCGCGCCAAGTCGTCGCCCACCGCCTTATGCTCCTGAGCAAAACACCGCACCACACGGGCGACTGTAACAAGCACCGCGTGCATTGTGGGCATTTCCAATGCGTCGCTGTCGAGGAGCCCGAGTGCCCGGCCCACCAGTTTCTGTCCGGCTGGCCCCGAGGCTGCACCAGCGCGTATAACGCAGTCGGATATAAATTCGCACGCTACAAGGAACGATGTGTCGTCCAGGCCTGTGATTGCTTCCTCAAGCGCTGTTGCCAGCCCAATGCATTCTCCGGACATGTGCACCACGCTGACAGCCGACGCCAGCCAGCGCCACGGCTCCGGATGCAAATCACAGGAGAAGCATCGCATGCGTGTCTCGCACAAATGCCCTGCCTGGCTTTTCCCGCGCCGACTGAGCGACCGCTGAGTCAGGTCAATGGTCAAGGTTTCCGATGACTCGCCATAGCTATTTTCCGTACTCTGCGCACCTGTCACTGCCCCCAACTGGCCACCGACAGAGATATTACATAGCGTCTGTGAGTTCGCAGATGAAAACAGTGACTGAAGCACTCTAGCCAGCATTGGCTGGTGCTTATGCACACCTTGCGTCCAGCCGTGCGTTAGACTGAGTGCCTGGCACACCAGATCAAGATGCATTTCTGAGCCTGCAAGTGACTTTAGCAGCTGCGCATATTCATCTGCAAGCCGCTTAGCCCGGGATTCTGAGGGTGTGGCGTCGATGTTGCCAGGATGGAGTGCGGCTGCTATGAACTCCGCCGCCTGCCACACGACATGGGCTATGCAGGGGATCGCCTGAACCGTCTCGTCCGCAACTGCCTTGGTCATGGCTTCGAGCAGATTGCGCGCTACCAGCCACCACTGCTCAGCAGACAGCGGCGTTTGGCAGGTCCTTCTGCCACCAAGGCACTTCTCGCATGTGTTTTGGTCGCCACTAGCTAATATGCGATCAACAAGCCGCGATGTCGCTGCTTGATCGGCTGTAATCGCATCCAAAACATCAAGGACCTGGTCGAACTGCAGCTCGAACCCCCATTCCGCCGCAGGAACTGCCATATCCGATGCATACTTCACCGACCACCGACAGCCATATCCCCCCAGCCCCAAAGCCCACCCCACCACCTTGACGAACAAATTACCAGGCCAATGCAACTGCACTGCCCTGTCGCAAAGACCCATGATGGCTCTGCTGGCAGCACCGCCGATCGCCTCGTCACTGGCCGCTAGCTCCTGCAGCACAGCAAGGCGCGGCGCAAGTACAACTGCAAGCTGCACGTAATCTGGGTCTCGAATCTGCCCGCATACATGCAAAGCGCTGGCCGCCTGCTCCCAGCTCTGCAGCCCGTCAGCCACTGCGCCCCGACACAACATATCGAGAACCAGTCCCGCAACTCCGCACAGCTCCGCCTCAACGCCAGCCAATGCATGCCTCCAGACCATCAAGCTATTGCACTGCGGCTTTGGCTGTGTGTCCAATGAATCCAGGGCACGGATCGCCCCCAGAACCCACTCGACCAGCTCGCTCGGCTGCTTCTTATCACCAGCAAGAACCCCAACCAGTGCGTCGTAGCACTCCTGGTAACGCCTTTTCGTCATGCTTTCCGAATACATATAGATGATAAACCACACCACCTGTGCGGCTCCGCGAGCATTCGCAATGCCACTGTCCTCGGCCGACCCAAGGGTGGCTAGGAGCCGCGACAGCGACGTATGGCCGGTGCGCATGCGCTTCCGCCGCCTAAGCGACCCCTGGCTATCCTGCGACCGGTCGGCACGGTCCAGCAATTTGACTGCCAAAAATCCCACCGTGTCGAAGAACCCGTACTGGAATGGATCCAGTGTCGTGTGCAAGTACTCCATCACCGAACGCCCCGGTCGCGATTTACAATGTGCCATCGGCCACAACGAAAGAAGCGCGCGAGGAAGCGACATGAACCGGAACTTGTCCCACGACCCCGTCGTCAATGTCTTCAATGCCATCTCTAGCAGCGCCCAGCCGTCGTCGCTATCCGCCAGGCTGCAGTATATGAGCCTGGTTAGGATCCGGATGCACCGCAGCACCGAGTGTTTTGTATGTGTGGACCGCGTCGACCACAGATGCAGACATGGCGACAGTAGCTTCATGGAGAGCTCGGAATCCCCAATCGCTTGCTCGTCCGGCAGGGCAATTAGCACTGCGTTGACTGTATCGATGATATGCATATGGCACGGGTTCTCGCGCTCATAGTAGCACAGGAACTCGGCGCAGAACCCCATCACCGGTTCCCGAAGCTTGGCCATTCGCGCCGGGTTCGCGCTGCTCACCACTGCTGACAGAGTTGCCGCATACTCGACATCCCCGGGCACCACTGCTGCTGCCGAGGCTGCCGAGTCCTGCGACTCTGCCACACTATCAAATCTTCTCAGGAACCGAATACACAGACCAACCACTGCCAGGACCAATTTATCCCCACAGCCACGCAGATGCGGCGGATGCGCCGCCCACGCCCTTAACACCTTGCCATAGTCCAGTCCCAGCACCGGCACCAGTGACGGATCGTCCACAAATGCCTGTGTGATATGCTTCACCATGAATTTCGCCAGCCTGCCCGATACATGCGGAATCATGGCAACCCAGATATGCCGCACATGGCCTGAGTACTGCGACTGGATCCTGCTGGCCATGCGCTGGCCTGCCAGTGACAAGTCAAGGCCGTCTTGGCCGTGCCTATTGATGAACACCTGCGACTCCTTGATTAGGATACGCGCGGTCCACGATACAATATGCTCACAGACCTCTTCACTGAGCGTGCCCATGATTGTGCTCTGTTCTCGCTGCGACTCCTCGGCGAGTATCCCGGCTATCTGCTGTATCCCGTGTGTACGCTCCGTGGCCTTGCTGGACTCGAGCTGCTCAAGCGGCTTGAGAAGCGCTGGGTTGATAGCCACTTTGCCGCTTTGCCACATACCAGCAGTGTCCTCTTCGGCTACTAAATTGACGTGTCGCCGTGAGCCACTCATTTTGGAGGGTTTCATATAGTGGAGAAATTAAAATGCGAATAATAAAAACTAGAAAAACACGCGAAATGAATGTTATGAAGGAAAAAAAACCCCTGGCTCGCTGCGTTCAGGGTAAGTGTTTCTGGTGTGTCCGAAAGGGTCGCCTATTCTCTGGTACTCAGCTGCTGATCAATTTACGGCTTTAGCGCAAGGAGGGGTATTATTCTTTGGGAAATCACAAGTTAAAAGCCAGCGACTTCACAGTATAGGATCCTCCCCCATGGCTACCCTAACAGTGCCATCACCAGACATGCTTTCAAATCCGACAAAGGTGTGAAGGAGGACCTATTCTCAGCCACCCGGTATCCTCAACGGAACACTCTGGCTCGACGTGCCAGGTGGGGTGGAGCTAGGCCAAGCGACGGAGGCTGGACCCCAAGATGGGCGACATGCTCGGGAGTTGCAAAGAACGTGTTGGTGAACTGGGGGATCCGCTGGCCATCAGACCCAATCTCAACATGCGCAGGTATAATCAGGCCGGCTCTCTTGCCGAATCTAGTATCACCACCCAGCGCCCCGGGGAATGGAGCCAGGCCGTCTTGGAGCTGAAATTCGCCAGATAAACCCTGAACGAACCCTTCAGGCACGCCGCCGGAAGCGAGCACTGACCCAATACTCCCAAATCCGCTGTTAATGTCTGGAGATGAAACTCCAAGCGATCCATCGGTGACGCGCGCTCCAATTGAAACCCCGTGTTGCTGGCAGAAAACAGGGGTGGCAAGTGCTAGGACAAAGAGCTTCATATGATAGAGCAGCAGATTTTCGGTTGAAGAAAGGATAATTGCTGGATCCATGATGCTTTGGAGAGACAGGCTGCCTTTATACTCTGCCCCGTGGCTTGTGGTGCCAGCATTTCTGCGAAATTAAAAACAAATATTCGAATAAAACTGTGGACAAAAGTGCCATTTACAAAACGCACAATAAACCACCACTGGCAGAATAGATGGAAGAGCCAACATTGTGGAACCAGTCCTACTCGAACAATAACAACGTTGGTACCAAGTGCATGCTCGGAACAACTAGACAGTCGTATACGCCAACAATGCGACAACAATAACATATATTTCCTATTTAAGTGTGCCACATATACCAATATATAGACGATTGTATAGCGTTGAGTGCGCAATACATGGAATGTGATGTATTTGGGTTGGGATACAAACTATATCTAATTATCTGTTAATGTAGCTCAACTATATGATAACAGTACTCGTATTTGATTCAGGCCTGGTTCTGGATGACAGTGGCCTTCTGTCCGTTCTGCTCAGCAGCAACAGGAACACTGGCAACAGGAGCTGCAGCGATGGGAGCAACAACCTCTGGGACAACAGCAGGAGCTGCAGCAGAGGCAGAAATGGGTTCAGCGACAACTGGGTGGACAAACTGAGGAGTGAACACGGGCTGGACAAAGACCGGAGCAAACACGGGCTGGACAAACTGCGGAGCAGCAACGCCAAAGGCAGAGCCAACAACAGTACTGGCCTGGTGGTGGTCATTGGCAAACACGACATCACCGTTGCGCTTGAAGACGCTGCTGACGACACCGTTGTTAACGAAGCCAGGAACTGCGAAGCCAGAAACGCCGGCTGGTGCAAAGCCGCCAGAGACGAACCCAGGGTGGGCAACTTGCGGCGCAGCACTCACCTGATGGGCATTGTTAGCAAACACGACATCGCTGTTGCGACGGACAAACCCAGCAGCGCTGAATGTGTTCTGGACCGGACCAAGCAGGTTCGAATTGCCGTTTGCAGTCCAGCCGTCGTTACCCTTGACATGGGACTGCGATGGGTTGTTGACGATGTTGCCCTTGGATACATCATTGCTATTGACAGTCGAGAAAGACGATCCGAAAATGTTGGTGAAGGCATTGCCACCCTGGCTGGATCCGCCAGAGAAGAACGAACCGTCAGCCTGCCAGCCGTTGTTGACATTCGGAGCTGAGATGGCGTTAGGGGCTGAGACAATGCTGGGGCCGTCGGTGGAGCCAATCTCCTGGCCGAAAGCCGAGGCAGAGGCGATGGCAATGAAGGTGGTGGCGGTACGCATGGTTGGAGATTTGTAGTCTGTGGTTGACGAGGGATTAGTTGTGAGGAGTAAGAGCTGGTAGAGATCAGTAGCTTGTAGCGGTGGCTGGCTCCGGCTGCGACCGGTCTGGCTTTATACCAGAGATCCGGGACTAGGCGGGCCTGTCCTTTAGAGCTGCCTGTGATGTAGGGATTCAAAGTTTGCGTTGGCACAATTGCTGGTAGGAGCTATTCTCCTACAGCTCCCTTGTTTTCACCGGTCACGCAAATGGTCTGCACTACTGTCGGTCAGCCAACAAGGCTGTTGGTGTGTCTCTGCCAATTGATGTCTACTTGGCGAGGGCTGGTCCGCTTGTTTCTGTGACAATTGCTAGGCTTTGTCGTGGCCATTATCTGGCAGATATCGCCACACCGCGAACAACCACGCCGCAAACAAACCACACCGCTCCCCGTCGCCAGCGTGCGCAGCATTTGTTCTTTGGGCTAGGACCGTCCCTTTGTCAATGCGGTGCGGTTTCTGAAATGAAGCCGAGCCAAATGCACGTAATCGGGGAGAGGCGGGGGTCTGGCTACTGCTGTTGTGCCATTGCTCAGCTCGCGAATTGTTGGTCAGGATGATGACAATAGCGTGTGTCGACATTTATGACGTAGGCAGCATTGGCTTGCATTGCGTGATTGGCGATATGAATGCAGGATATATTGGAAGAGCATCAAGTGCAATGGGCTCGTGCTCAGCACGGCTAGATATTAGTGATGAGAATAGGAGCTATGCCTGGTTCTGGATGACGGTTGCCTTCTGGCCGTTCTGCTCGGCAGCAACGACTGGGGCAGCCTGGAAAGCCGGCTGGACCACAGGCTGAAAAGCTGGCTGGACCACAGGCTGAAAAGCTGGCTGGACCACAGGCTGGATGAACTGCGGGACAGCAGTCCCAAAGACCGGCTGGACAAACTGAGGAGCAGCAAGTCCCGGAGCAGCAAGTCCCGGAGCAGCAAGTCCCGGAGCAAACGGTAGCCTGGTGGTGGTTGTTGGCGAACACGACGTCGTTGCTGCGCCTGTACACCGCACCAACGATGGCTGGATGGACAAAGGCAGGGTGGACAAAGCCTGGAGCACGGTTCAGCTGGTGGTGGTTGCTGGCAAAGACGACGTCGCCGCTGCGGCGGACAAACCCATGGCCGAAGAAGTTTCCGACAGGACCGAGCTGGTTGGAATCGCCGTTGGCAGTCCACCCGTCGTTGCCGAAAACCGAGGTGAACGATGGGTTGTTGATGATGTTACCCTTGGACAGGCTGTTGCTGTTCACGGTTGAGAACGAGCTGCCGACGATGTTGTTGAACAGACTGCCGTGGCCGCCATTGGCACCCGAGAAGAACGAGCCCTCGGCCTGCCAGCCGTTGTTGACGTTCGGAGCTGAGATGGCGTTGGAGCCCGAGACGATGCTGGGGCCGTCGGTGGCACCGATCTCCTGGGCAAAGGCGGTAGCAGAGGCAATGGCAAGGAACGAGGCGGCAGTACGCATGGCTGAGGAGTAAGACTACGCTTAGACGGAAGGTGGCGAGGGAGTGGGATTGATTAGCGGCAAGAGAAAGAGCTGTATGCTGGTAGGTAGCTTGAGGATGACTGCTGGATCTGCTGGATCTCACCTGTGTTTTATACCATCGACGTGGCTGGCGACGACTTTGATATGCTTCGTCCAAGATCGCTTGCAGCAGCAGAAGCAGCAGCAGCGGTGGCAGAAGCAGCAGCAGCGGTGGCAGAAGCAGCAGTCAAGTTTGCAACAACAGCTGGTGCAACTACCCCTCGCAGCAGCTGCAGTGGCCAGGCTGTTTGTCTGGTGGTCGACAATGTCGAGTGATTTAATGAGGCAGCCAGCTGAATGGCCATCATTGAAGCTCCATGCCCCCACTTTTCTACTACTCCTGCAGCCAAGCAGCTCAGCAAGCTGCAAGCGCACAGATATCTCCAGTGAAGACCTTGCAATGCAACCACGTTTTGCTTTGGCGTATTTATTCCAGATTTTAAATTGACTTCAAATGTTGTAGTCGTACAAAATTGCACCGCCAGAACGGACCACGCTCTCGATCTGGTCATCAGAGTAGTTTAACACCCTACGCAGGACATCATCCGTATGCTGCCCAAGCATAGGTGGTGGTAGACGCACGCCAACCTCTGAGGTGGAGTATTCGACAGCAGGGCCGACCAGCTTGAGAATGCCTGCAAATGGATGCTCGACTTCTTTGACAACCTGCCGTGCAACTAGCTGCGGGTGCTCAAATGTCTGCTTAATTGTGTTGACAGGCCCGAACGGCATGCCGCTTCCCTCCAGCCGAGAAACCAGGTCGTCAGTCTTCCAGTCGCTCAGCGCCTCAGTGATCAGGGCAACGAGCTCATCGCGGTTCTGCACGCGATCTGCGTTGGTCGCATACTTTGGGTTTTCAAGCAGATCCGGTCGGCTGATGGCGTCGGTGAAGATCTTGTACTGCTTGTCGTTGCCAGCTCCAATGCAGATGCTGCCGTCCTTTGTCGGGAACACCTGATAGGGGACAATCGACGGGTGGCTGCTGCCGAGTCGGCTGCCCTCCTTGCCTCCTACCAAGTAACTTGAGGCAATGTTGGCCAGGACCGTAGCCTGTGTCTGCATCAGCGACACGTCCAGGTGCTGGCCGACATTAGACTTTACTCGCGACAGCAGAGCAGCTAGGATTGCGCTGTGGGCGTAGATTCCTGTGGTCACATCGGTGACAGCCACGCCAACCTTGACCGGTGGCCCGTTGGCCTCACCAGTAATGTGCATGAGACCAGCCTCGGCCTCGATGATGGTATCATATCCTGGCTTGTTCGCATAAGGCCCCGACGAGCCATATCCTGTGATTGATGCGTAGATGAGCTTCGGGTTGACCTTTTTCATGTCCTCATAGCCGAGCCCGTACTCGGCCAGTTTTCCGGGAACGTAGTTCTCGACGAAAACATCGGATTCCTTGGCCAGATCCAGAATGACCTGCCGCCCCTGCTGGACCTTAATGTCAATGGCGATTGAGTGTTTGTTGCGGTTGGCACACAAATAATACGCACTCTCGCCCTTGAACAGGGGTGGCTGGCGGTACAAGCCACCCTTGGATGTCACACCCTCAATGGCCCCAACCTGCTTTTCATACAGCTTGAATGGAGGACCCCAGGCACGAGTGTCGTCGCCGCGCGCTGGGTGCTCGACTTTGATGACCTCTGCGCCGAGATCCCCAAGGAGCATCGTGCAGAAGGGTCCGGCAAGGACACGCGTCATGTCAAGGACACGAATTCCTGTCAGTGGACCGACTGACTTAGTTGCATGAGTGGCCAGCAGACGCTTCGGGGGTGTCATGGTGGCCGGATGGTTTCTCGCAGCGCAGAACAGCTGATGTACGAATGGCATACTTGAAATAACCGTAGGTGGGATATCAACATTGAGGAGAAATTGGTCAGATGCATCCTCTGACCGGTCGACCTCTATATAAACCCACTGTTCTGCACATGTCACCAGCAATCCTGCTCCCAGGGGTCATAGCCCTTGACAATGAATTCCGCTCTGCCACAATCACTCTTGCTGGAGCCCAATAAGGCCAGATGGTAGAGTATAGCGTGAGAAGCAGGACATTGCTTTGGCAGAATGCCGAGGCGTGCCATGCTAGACAATAGCGCCCATGCGTCTTCACACGCAATGTATATCGCCAGGGCCAGTGCTATCCACTTACCCAGACTGCCTACCTGCTGATTTGCTCACCACCAGAATTTGTTAAGGGCTAGGTATTGGTCCGCTGGCTCTCAGACCCAAAACACCCGCTGGTATCTACGGTCAAAAGGTAAATTGCGGTATTCATATGAGCAACAATATTGCAGTGGCAGCTGTAGCTAGATGTTTGTCTGTTGCGCTGTTCTAGTGGCGCTGTTGACGTTATTTTCCAACCAGTTTCCTTGTTCTCTCAACAAATATGGACAAGGAATTGCTACAGCCACAGCACATCCATCTCCCTCCCTCCCTTTCTTGTTATCCATTTTTGCCAAACGAAGGCGAGATGAATATCCTTTTGTTTACGATAGTAATGGCTACGTAGCAGAATATACAGCCAACCGAGCTGAGGCAGAGAATTCATTAGTCTTGTCTATCTGTCAGTCGCCTTTCTCTTCTTCTTCCCCCTCTCCCTTTACTCTGTTCCTTTCCCTCATATACCTTCGCGCCCATCCCCTATACAGCCTCTTGCCCTATACCCTATACTGTAATCACCGACCACAAACCTAGCACTCTAACTATGCGTATCTATCAAGCTATCACAGTTTTTGCTGTAGCTGCCTCGGCATTCCCTACACAGCTTCTTGCTGTCCGTGAGGGTCCCAGTGGGGATATAAATTCGCCAGCAGCTCCGCATGTGGCTCAGCCTGAGCAGATGCCGCTTCAAGATCGCCCTCCTACTCAAGACCACCTAACAGACAGCGACCGCCCCCCTATTGTAGCGGAGAACGGATCCCCTGTTCAGGATTACCCGCCAGCTGGTTTTAACGAACATCGCGATGGATCGCAGCACCACCCAACTGATAGCAGCAGCAGTGGCCAAGATCCGGGTCGCCCCGCTACCCAGGACCGCCCAGCTGAAGGCGACCGCCGTCCTGTTGTAATCGAGGACCGCCCTCCTGTTCAGAATCAGCAGCCAGCTGCTTTTGATGAACACACTGCTCCCCAAGGCCGTCCAGCAGAGAGCAACAGCGCTAGACCGGTCTCGGACCATGCGCCAGTGGTTGTTAATGAGCCTCACGATAGGCCACAGGATCACCCTGCGGCAGAACCTCCCCGCAGCTCTGGCCATCAATCTTCTCGGCCTCCAGCTCGTCAACACTTTGAGAAGATCGAGCACCCTGGCGGCAACCCGAACAGCATCGAGAAGACGTCGCAGGACATTATCAACGACGATCAGCACGGGGTTCACTCAAACATTATCCACCATGTTGTCACCAGCAACAGTATCGTCAACGGTAAGCCCACAAATGTCAATATCCACGGCACTACCGGTGTTGCTAATAACGGCAAGAACAACGTTGTTCTACCAAATGAGTTTTGGAACCAGTTCAACCCTGGCCAGCCTGGGGCTGGGCTCCCTGGCACCAACTTTATCCCTGCTGGTCTGGGAGCTAACGGCCGTCCTCCTAGCGACCATTAGTACTAGCCTTTAGTGATTCTTGAAACAGAGGTTGTTTTCTCTATATGGCCTTGGTGCGATGTCGCGTTATTTTTATTTTTGGCTGCATTTATGTTCGGCGATCGCTTTTTGGTCTGATCCAAGCGGTCCGAATGGTTTGGCCAATGGGGAAAGCTGGGGAAAAATCGGATCGCTGTAGCTACCAATGCACAATTTTTGTACACTTCTTACATGTAACGCACGAAGATCCCGGGCTATGGATGAAGAATTCGCGTGCATCTCCCTCCTAACACTGGCAAACCAGGCCAGCTAAATTGGTTGGGAGAGGGAAAGAGGTGGTGAGAATTGGAACGTCGTTCTTATTGCACGCTTTTTGGCTCCATGGCCAGTGTAGCAGGAATTACACCATCGCTGTACACACGAATGCAAGACAGACAGACAGCAGCTGCCGGTACTCTCCGCATGAAACAAAAGGTGCTTCTTGTTTTGCTTTCTTTTCTCCCAACTACTCTTTTTCACGCCTACTCGTTTTAAAGTAACATATTATCCTGCTGGTCTGGACATCATACGACAAATAAACATACTCAGGCAGTAGCTTTCTCCCCTCTTTTCTCTTCACCTTCGCCCTCTCCCCTCTCCCTCCTTCCCTCACTACCTACACACTTGTATCCTCTCCCTCTTGCCTCACATTCCTCCTTTCATCCGCGTTATACTTTTATTCAATGGCAGGCTCTGGTCGTGTTCAAGCAGACGACAATTTTGATATTGATGACTGGTACGACGCGTCACGTCGTAGCCGAGGCGTTTCTATGATGCCGGCGAGCAACCCGCAGCTCGTCAATTATCAGAACATGCACGTAGCCAGCCCCATGCCGCCTCAGAGCCGCTCAAACCAGCAGCAACAGCAGAGACACCCACCACAGAGCAACGGGTATAATGTGGATTCGTATTATCATGGCAGCCACAACGGTCCGCCAACCAGTGCCCAGCAGTTGGCGGGCTATTATGGTGGCTACGGCGATAATGACAACAATGATATCAGTTACTCGAATGGCCATTATGACCCAGTCCACTATCCTGGCGACCGTGGGCCGCCACGCATGCAGCAGCAGCAGCAGCAGCAGCAGTATGGCCGGGGCCCCGCACCGCAGGCTCCTACATACCAGCAGATTACGCCAACTCATGGAAACTACCAGAGTGGGGTATATCCACTTGGAGTGGCTCCACCGATGAATAACGGGACCCGTCCATCAACTGGTCGCTCAAACATGAGCATGGGATACATTGCCCCTGACCCAGGAATGGAGTCACGCCCCCAGACTGCGCGGTCAGACAAGAGCACAACACCGCTGAACCCAAATGCAGTCGTCCTCTCCAACCTACCCAAGGGTGTCAAAGCATCAAGCGAGACCAGATACTCTCCCCCACCCCCGATCAGCACTGCCAATACCAGCTCGACGCTACACTCAAGGCATGGCAATGTCAGCTCGCCATACTCGCCAGCGGCACCCAAATATGGGGCATCCCCTTCAACCGAATACCTATCCACTGTCAAGAGCCAGCAGCCGCTTCTTAACAGCAGCCACTCACATGGCCACAGCGATATGACTACGGTCGACCTGTCAAATGTCAGGTCTGGTGGCGGCTACCAGGCCCCAGAACGTCCGATCACCTCGTCCACCACTCGTTACAATGCGTCACAGCTCGCAAGAGGAAAATCCGTTAATGACCGCTATGAGCAGCGCAAGGCTGGCGGTGACTCGGGCGTGGGCGAGTGCTGTGAATGCTGCTGTGGGGGCTGTATGCGCTGCGCATGCTGCTCTGTCTGCTGCTGCCTCGGCCCGATCATCACTTGGATATTAGTTATTCTTGTCCTGGTTGGCATTGCGCTGGCGCTGTACTTCAACTGGGACAAGATCATCGGCGCAGTCAAAAACAAGGGAGCGGCAGCGGCTGCCTCTGTTGCCTCCACTGCTGCGACTCCATCAGCTGTGCCTATCCCTACTACCGCCCCGCCTGCCGCCCCGCCTGCCGCTGCTACTAATGCTGCTGCTGCTGCTGCGGCTGCCGCCGCCTCTGCTGCAGGACTCCCACCTGAGGCTGTAGCTGCCGAAGCAGCAATCGCCGCTGCCGCCACCCCTGCTTAAAGACATTATCGTAGTTTTGTGCTAGTTACACTGTTATTTTTAGGACACTCGTAAAATGCAACATGTCGTATCTTTAGTAGTCCTTCCATCCAGTGACATCAAGGCGAGCAATCTTCTTCTCAACGCCAACCCGCATGTCGTCCATGTAGTTCTGCATCGCGTCCAGATATGTCGGGCACGAGGCGCCCAGGATGCGCACAGCCAAAAGTCCAGCGTTGTCAGAGTTGTTGATGGCGACAGTAGCCACAGGCACGCCGCGCGGCATCTGGACAATCGAGTGGAGGGAATCGACGCCGTCCAGGCAGCGGCCCTTGACTGGGACGCCGATAACAGGAAGAGGCGTCAGAGCAGCGACCATGCCCGGCAGATGCGCAGCACCGCCAGCGCCAGCGATGATAGCCTTGAGACCACGCGTGTGGGCAGACCTAGCATACTCAAACATGCGGTCAGGTGTGCGGTGTGCAGAAACGATGGTCAGCTCGAACGGAACGCCAAACTGCTCAAGGATGTGTGCGGCAGGACGCATGGTGGGCAGATCCGAGTCAGAACCCATGATGATACCCACCAGCGGGCTCATGTGCTTGACATCCTTCTTCTCCTCGTCGTTAACCGAGCCATCGGTAGTCTGCTCCTGCGACTTACGGTAGGCCAGCCGCTCACGCTCCTCATCCGAGGCATTGGAGAGCTTTCCGACAATCAGATCAGTGCGGCGACGAAGCTGAAGGGCAGAGTCAGCAACCACCGTGACATGGCCCATCTTGCGTGCTGGCTTGGCACCAGCCTTGCCATACAGATGAACAGTAGCACCAGGCACCTCAAGGCTAGCCAGGCACGGGTCCAGCACGCTCTGCATACCATTCTGGCCGCCCAGCACGTTGATCATGGCCGCGTTCGGGACTTTGAGCTCCGTGCTGCCAAGTGGCAGGTCCAGAACAGCACGCAGATGGTTCTCGAACTGCGAAGTATGGCAGGCTTCGATCGTATAGTGGCCAGAGTTGTGCGGACGAGGAGCGATCTCGTTCACCAGCACGGTGCGGCCGTCCTCATGAAGGAACATCTCGACGCCAAAGATACCAGCGCTGCCGCTTGGCAGGCATGAAACGGTATCAGTGGCGACCTTCATTGCAATCTGCCGGATGTCGCCGTCAATCTGAGCGGGGGCATAGACCAGCTCGCAGATGTTGTCACGCTGGATGGTCTCGACCACAGGGTATGTCGCAACCTGTCCGCTGGGACGACGGACAACCATGACTGCCAGCTCCTTGGTGAAAGGGACAAACTTTTCGGCGTAGAGCATCTTCTCGCCCAGCGTCTTGAACCCGCTGGCCGCATCATCTTTGCTCTTGACAACGTAGTTCCCACGGCCATCGTACGCACCAAGACGGCACTTGAGCACAAATGGATAGCCAAACTTTTCACCGGCAGCAACAACCTCGTCAAGCGAATCACACCTGACAAACTCGGGAAGGGCCAGACTCTGCTCAGCCAGATACACCTTCTGCAGGTACTTGTCCTGGATCAGTCGCACGGTGCTGGAAGACGGGCGGACCTGTGCCAGGCCAAGGCTCTCGATCTTGGCAAGCTCGTCGCAGTTGACGTGCTCGATCTCCACCGTCAGGACATCGCAGCCATCAGCCAGCTTCTTGATCGCCTCCGAGGACGTGAACGGCTCGTCAATGTGCTTGTCCGAGTTGCTGATCTGCTTGGCAGGCGAGAGAGCGGTCGGGTCAAGCACCCGCACCTCGACATTCATGCGGCCAGCCGCCTCGATGAACATGCGTCCGAGCTGGCCTCCGCCAAGGATACCGATAACCTGCTTGTCCATTGTGAAAAAGTTTCAAGGGGAAGGTGAGTGTGGGGGGAATAGCGCTTTTCGAGCAACGATGGTTTTCTCGGAAAAGAAAAGGTTGCAGTTCCTGGCGATTGCCAGCAATGGTCCCAACCGCGGTTGCGGATTAGGTTGTGATTATGCCGAGATAACGTGAAAGTCGCAGATTAGTAGATCCGGGCGATTAGCTCACTAATCTAAGATGTGCATGGACAGCCGTGCTTTACCAGGCACGGGTCTGGACTGTCCGAGGCCGAGAGCTACAGCTCTCCAGCAATGATGCTACTCTTACGCCATGTTCCTGCAGGACCATGTCTGGGTGCCTTTGGAGCTTGCCCAGATCAGCGAACTATGGAATATGACCTATCTCTTCTGTGTTTCTCCAGCTATCTTTGCTATTATTCCTATGATCCTATATCCAGTACCATGGCCTAGTCCAACTTTCAGATCCAAACCAGATATATACGTGCTCTCACATCTCTGCATGGTAATGCTAGCACTACAGCACCAGGATACATACCTTCTCGGTAGCGATCCCACTCTTGTCGGCAAAAGTTCCATCCTAGTATACAAAACCGTATTTTATTCAGTGCTGGGCTTTTACATTATATTCACAGTGGGGACCTTCTCGCTGTACATCTGGAGGGCAAGGCGATCGCAAGAACGCTCGTTAAGGGAGCGGTCAGTGTTTCTGCTCACGTTACAGGTGGTTGGTGGGTTCATATTCGGCTGTTGCACCCTATGCCATAACGCCATACCACTATTCCCGTGCTTTATTGACTTTTGGCTGTTGTACATTGGATACAATATCTGGCTATATGCATTTGGGCTTCGCGCTTTGCGGTTTTACATTCAGGCGCGCTCACATACTGCGATTGGGCATGAGGTACGGGATAACCCTATTCGGCCAGGAAATTTACACCAGTATCTGGACCGGTTGCGTGAGATAGGCGGGCAGAGATATTTACAGTCGTCCTACAACCTCAACAAGTCACAGCCAACAATCAGTTCGACAAATGGACAGCGCAAACACTCTCTCGCAATGTCGCTTCAAAGCGTTCACAATCTGCATAGGCATCGGCCACCACTCCCTGATACGGTTGACACAAATAATTCGACCAACCTAGCCGCTATTGTCATCGAGCCTGCGGAAATCGAGCAGAGGAGCAGCAGTCATGGATCTCACAGCGGGCGTGTATCGATATCCTCTCGACTCTGCTGTAACAGCAAAGAGCTGTCCCTTCGGCAAAAGAATGCTAGCCGAAGTCGCGTTTTAACCGTGCTAGCCCGTGGCATCATGTCAAACCGAGTAGTGGGGAAGATACTCCTGATATTATTGGTGCTTCTGGCGATTGGTCTCTTGTTCGGAAATATCTTTTCGCCTTTACTGGCTGTCCGTCCGATGCACTACAACTGCGTTAGAGCATGGGTGATGTTGCCTCTAGCCATCTTTTCTGGCATTTACTACTTCATCGCTTGCCCTATTCTCCTTGCGCTTATCTGGCGATACCACGATGCATATGGAATTAGAAACTCCCTTATCATCTGCGTTGTGACTGGGATGTTACAATATCCTATCGTCATTGTCTGGGAATTTGCGATTCAGCCAATCAACCACTACATTTCCCCTTTATTCTTCACGTGGGCTCAGATGTTTATCATCTACATACAGTCGATTGTCGTCCCACTGGTTGAGTCGTTTTATATTGCCTACCGAGAACGCAGGAGGTCGAGCATGAATGACACAGACCAGTTGATCGACGAGTTCCGACGTCCAAGCCGGCTGCCCATCACGGCTAGACGGCAATCGGGAGCAACTAGAGAGGGTTTTTATGCAGCTCTACAGGATCCGGAAGAGCACGAGAGACTCAAACAGTTTGCAGTGCGTTGTTTTTGCAGCGAGCTGATGTCCTTCCTCGACGCTTACGCGGCACTCAAAGCCAACATCCATCTTGACCTCAAAACCCATTCAACGCCCGAGCAGAACACGAACTTGAGGCCGCTATCTGGCTCTGTTATATCGTCGTTTGATACCCTGCAGCCTCCGACGACGACTCCAAATCTACATGTCACGTGTTCTATATCAGGAACTGGTCGCAGCCATGCATCCCAAGATGTCGTTGCTCCATTTTTGTTCGACGACACACTGAGATCGGAATCTCCCGAATCAAGGCTGACAAGGCCGTCATCGTTTGGGATTGGACTTACTGATATTACTACTGGCATCGTGCAAACCATGGCCAGGGCATTTCCGCGACTAGTCATTGACGACTCGACCACCATTTCTGAGAGAATCCGCGAGCCTGTTTCTGCCATACTGACCACATTCATACTTCCCGAATCATCGTTGGCGATAAACACGTCTAGCCAAGTCATCAGAGTTGCACAAGACTACTTGGATGGGGGCACAATCACGATGAGCTGCTTTGACAAGCTGAAGGATGACGTTCTTGATATGCTCTACTCAAACGTGTATCTCCGCTACAAAAATAAATGACCTGAAGCAGCTTTAAACTAAAATTTCTCATTGAATGATCATGTGGATGCATGCATTTTATCCTTCGATGGAAGAGGCAGAATACACCAGCAACCACAAACCACATTTATGTGGTTCCATGTTCCACATTGCTTTATACAATTTTTTTCTGGAGGAACTTGGAATCGTGATCGGATCAGTTGAACAACTGGTCGTTTGGAAATCACATGGAGTGCGTCCGATTGGCTCAGTTGGCAGAGCGTGAGTCTCATAATCTCAAGGTCGTGAGTTCGAGCCTCACATCGGGCACTGTCTTTTGCTTCTGCGGGGCTTCTCTTTTTGGATATACAGGCGCTTTTTTGCACGCTGGGCGAGACAATGTCAGTCGAATCAGGTGGTGGCAAGCCGGGCGCCAGCAAGAGCCCCGCTACAGCCTACATTATGGAGGTAACGTCTAGCCCTTGATGGGCTGCACAAATGGCCGCATTGAAAATACCTCCGTGCAACTTGTCTATTTTCTTATCACTCTTTTCTTCAGTATTAAATATCACCTTTAAAACCTCCCACATATCTAACACAACACCATTAATATTCATGTAGAGGTGAATCAGCCATACCTATATGGTGTATGAAGCATACTTTTCAGATCCTTTGGAATGAGCGTTGTAGAGAACGTTGCATTCATATATTGGTGCAAGACAGAATACCTGATTGGAACATACTTCACCTTTGGTTGTGACTGGTAACCGTTACAGATTGGCCAAGTAATAGCTCATGTTGTTTACAGCATCTTTTTGACTTTTTTTAGTATATTCAATGGTTGGCTTTTGGCTTATCCACGTCCTCTTGCAGTCTACGTGTCACAGATGCCATACCAGCTTCACTGTCGGCTGCTACAACTGCAGGTCAAAAACGCTAAATTCTGCCTTTTCCAGTTGCTCCAGTTAATCCTTAACAGGAACTGCTGTCAGTAGCGCCGGGACCCTTTCCTTTGGATTATTCGGCGTATTCAGCTCAGTCACACCACACAGTCTCGTATACCCTCTGGTAGCCAACTCAAAAACACCCATCAACCGATCTACAAATATCGATCGGTAAGCAGATAGCGGCCATCAATCGCTCAGCGATCTCGGCCCCTTACCCTCAGTAGGAGAGCGACTGATGCCTTCCAGGTGCGGCGTGTTTCCAGGCTGATCCTTCCTATCAGTATCATCATCGGCAATGCGCATCAAAATACCAAGCCCAAGTAATTCATGCCTTTGCCGCTGGCCATCTGGCTCACTGCTATGCTGCTGACGCCCATGGGGTCGTACCCGCCGTTCTATACCTACCTACCAGCAATTGCTGTCTGAAAAAGATGAGCGAATGGGGACGGGGGAAGCAGGTGGTATTGAGGTGTGACCAAGTCAGCTTGATAATAAGACGCGTGCAGCACAGGTGACAGGCCAAATTATTTCTATTTCTGAAGGGGGCAAGAGGGGTGTGGATTTGCAACAGAAGCACAGCGACTGAATATGCAGCATAGCGGATGACGTGTAGGTTCTCGTCACAATATAGAAATTGGCTGGTTTGATATCATGGAGCTTTTTATAGCCAAATGTAAGAGACGAGATAAAGGTGTGCTATTGTGTGTTTTGGCGGTACGCAAGGCTACATGTCCAATCTAACTAAGCCTAAGGTTATCGTTCACAACGAGAAGAGAAACTGGGTGCTAACCAATCACGATATGTGGTGTATCAGAGCCCAGTCGTAATGGCCGTAGGTGTCCTGGTGGCTGTCCTTTTCACTTGCGCTCTCCGACGACCAGTTGCAGTCGTTGCAGCGCCACACAGAGCGCACATACAGGCGGAGTTTCGTCTTGAGGATTGCCATATCACGAATATTCCTTGCAAATGCCTGTATAGAACAGAAAACCCAGTATAGATAACTGTTGGGGTGGAGTGAGATGAGGGAATAAGTTAGCAAAAGAGTGTCGGGGGTTGAAATAGCCGTGGAAAGAAGGAAGCTTGGGACAATTTAAGGCTTTTCGCTAGCGGAGGTCAACCAAAAACAATCCTATGTGCTAGTTGACAAGACGGGAGGAGCAGGGGGAAGAAGAATTCGAGAGGTCAGGGCATGAGCTATTTGAGGGGGGTTTTTTTTTGGGGAGGGTAGGTGACGGGGGAACTGCGCATGCATCTGGTGAACATCTAACCTGCTTTGTCACTGAGGGCCAGTGCAGCAATGTCAGACAAGGATGTCAGAGAGATGATAAGGGGAATATTGAGGCAGATGCGAAAATCAAAGCGCCTAATGTGCTCAGAACCATGGTTGCACAGGAACGGGAGGGAGGGAGGGATGCACATTGCACGAGTCTGCATACTTCTTAGTGTTCTTTTTTCTACAATTACTTGTTCGCATAAACCGGTTTCCTGTAATTCGCAGATTGCACCGTTTTATTTCTCAGCGCTATATCCTGAAAACCACACCCGCCTGTTTTCTTATGTCCTAGTAGGAACCTGTGGCTGGGTATACATGTATACCACAGCACACGGGGAAGGTATTTTTATTCATGTGTTGCGGTGGCAGGCATTGTGCCAAAATGTTCATGCCATCCCCATTTATAGCAGAGGAAAAACTGAACAGATTCTCATGGCTGTCACACTTACATCTAGCTTGGGGAGGCGAAATAGGCCGGCCAAACCTTGTTCCTTCGCCTGAACACGAATAGGAGGCGGAAATGGTGGGAGGCCACCACATATGCAAGACATGCCGCTTGCATTAACCAGATGACAAGGGATTAACCACTTTAAGCATCCTCTTTTGCGCCATGCATATGGGCAATGAGAGGTGAGGGATACTGGCCTGTTTTTTCCCTCAGCAAGCAGGAAACTCCCGACCCAGTAAAAAGCTAATTTATTCAGTTGATATTTTGCTTAGGGTGTAGGGGGCCTGGGGGTTTTCTCGAGTTCCTGGTCGACCAGGTCGGCAAAGGACATCTTGTTTGGCGGCATGGCGCTGGTGGACATGCCAATGCCGACGCTGCTGGCCACCATCGAGGGGACCATGGCAGCAGCCAATACATTTTTGGTCGGCTGATCGCTGCCGCGGCGTCCATGCTGCTTCCGCGCTCTCGCGCCAGCCGGGGGCTAGTAGCAGAATCAACCTCGGCGCTGGCCTGATTCACTGCAGAGCCAGGTGGCGTGGGCTGCACAGCATGTCTGGAGCGGCCTGGGGTGCGGCCTGGAGTACGGGCAGTGTCGCGGGCTTCTGGAAGCGCTTGGACAGCTCAGAGCCGAACTTGAACACTGAGGTCTTTTGCATGCCCTTGGAATCGGCCAGGGGCTGTACTGGTCGTACTCGTCGTCCGAGCCCTTGCCGTGGCGCTGGTTGCCATTGTCGCCAATCAGCTTGCTCTGGACAGTTTGCGCTGGCGGCTGCCACTCAAGATTGGCGGGGTCTTGTAGATGTCCTGAGGAATGAACGGCATCATCCACCAGATGAGCTGGTCGGGAACCAGTCGCAGCACTAGGCCGACAGGCAGCGCAACGAATCCGCCGACAATCGAAAAGGCCCAGTACTTTGCGCTAAGCGCAGTGGTCTGGAAGGCGGCGCCACCCCACTGGATGATGATGACCTGGCCGACGACGATATGAGCACAATGGACAAAAAGAACATGTTCTTTTGCATGCCCTTGAAACAATTGACCTCATTGTGCAGCACACGGCAGTTGAACTCGTTGAAGATTTGCATCCAGGCAAAGGTGTTGAAGACCAGAGTGCGCAGAACCAGCATGTCGTAGCTGCTTTCGACAGTGTGCAGGTGGAAGATGTCGTCGGCGGCATATAGAGTCAGGAAGCACACAACGACCTGGAAGATGGACTGGCCAATGATGTTCTTCCACATGGTGAAGGTAATCAAGGGCGAGCCCTGTTTCTCGGGGTACCGGTCCAGCAGCTCCTCGCTGGGCGGGTCGGTGGCCAGGGCAAGGGCGGCAAAGGTGTCCATGATCAGATTGATCCACAGCAGCTGGACAGCAGTGAAGACCGACTTTTGCTCCTTGTCGACAATGGACGACACAAAGGCAATGAGCACGGCAGTGACGTTGACGGTGATTTGGAACTGCAGGAACTTTTTGACCGAGTCGTTGACAGCACGGCCCCACATGCAGGCGCGCACAATGGACTTGAAGTTGTCATCCATGACGACGATTGACGAGGCCTCCTTGGCAACCTCTGTTCCGGCAATGCCCATCGAGAAGCCGACATTCGCAGCCTTCAGGGCAGGGCCGTCGTTGGTTCCGTCGCCAGTGACCGAGACCACTTCGCCGTGTGTGCGCAGCCACTCGACCAGCATGCGCTTGTCCTCGGGCGACGAGCGCGCCAGAACCTGTAGGCGCGGAACAATGACGTCCATCTGCTCGGGGCTCAGACGGCGGAATTTGGGGCCCTCCAGGACGATTCCGCCCATGCCCGGCGTGTAAATACCGCATTGCGTGGCGATGGCACGGGCAGTCAGCACGTTGTCGCCGGTAACCATGCGGACGATAATGCCGGCGTTCTGGCAGCGCCTGACGGCATCAGTGACGCCGTCGCGCAATGGGTCCTCAATGGCGAAGATGCCCAGGCAGACCAGACCGGCCGAGTCGCGCAGCTCGCTGTCGTTTTCCATTTGCACCAGCCGGGCCTCGTCAAAGCTCTCAAAGTCGCGGTAGCCACGCCGATGGTGCGCAGGGCGCGCGACGCGTAGTGGGCAACGGTGCGGCGGAGGTCGCGCAGAGTCTCGTCGTCCAGAGGCAGCGCCGGGATCGCCGGGTTATGGGCAAAGTCCGGCGGGAAGTTCAGGGCATATGCGTCGTCGTTGACGTCGGTGGTGTCCGAGCCGATGTTCTGCGAGCCCGTGTAGTGGGCAGATAGCAGGTACGACGAGTCGCCGGTGGCCAGCGCGGGCATGTTCGGCTGCTCGAATCGTCGTCTTCGGTAGCGTCGACGCGCAGAAGCGGGACCGGCTCGCCGGCCGGCCCGCGCACCTCAAGATTGTCCTCGTCGCTGTCGTTCTCGAGGTTGATTTGCGGGATGCTGGGCATGGCAACAGAGGCGAAGGCGGGGGCGTCCTCATCATCGCCGCTGTAGTTGCTCATTGAGGGGTTCGAGCTGGCCTGCTGGTTCATGATTTCCTCACGGTCCTGCCTCTGGAAGGCGCCGTCGACATCAACCACCCAGCGGCAGTTCTCGCACCATCTCGGGAGCACCCTTGACGTACAGGCGCCAAATGGACTTGCCGTCCTCGCGGCGGCGGATCTTGACAAGCGTGCTCATGGACTTGCGCTCGGAGCTGAACGGCACACCTGCACGCTGCGCTCAACATCGTCTTCGCGCAGCTGCGTGTAGCTGGGGGCACCCAGAATCTCTGACCACGACAGCATGGCGGTCTCGGTCTTTGACCCGGTGAACTTGTCGGCGCTAGAAACCTGCGCATTGGCCTCGCTGCTCTCCTCATTGCTGGCCAACGCTCCCTTTTTGCCAGTACGGCCAAGGATGCGCCGCCACAGGGGGCCTTGGCGTTGCTGGCAGCAACATGGGAGGCTGGGGCGGACGAGGAGTCGTCGGCTGGAATGAAGGCAGTCGAGCAGACGGCGATTGCGTCGTGGCAGAGGCTCATGATCGCATGCGGAGCCTCCTCGGCCAGCTCGGCAGTGGGGATGATCAGGTCCTCGTCGTCACTGAAATCGCTGAGGTCCGAGATGCCCGAGACACTGGGCGAGGCATCCGACAATGGCGTCATGGCGCTTGATGACGAGAACCCCGACGAGCCCATGCGGCCCAGACGGCGGCGCTGGTGGCGCTGGCGACGGTCGCGCAGGCGGCGCTGGCGACGGGTCTCGGTTTCAAGCAGTGTGGGAAGCACGGCCTTGTCGGAGCAACCGCACGGCCAGTCATGTCGGTGACCAGCCCGTCTGAGGGCGGCTGTCTGGCGCGACGGCGCTGCATGGCCGAGGTGCCGGCGGGTACGAGCTGAACTGGTACTGGTCGCCGATGCAGCCCGAGACGACAGTCATGCGGTTTTGCGTCAATGTGCCGGTTTTGTCGGAGCAGATAGTGGTGCATTGCCCATGGTCTCGCAGGAGGCAAGAACGCGCACCAGGCAGTTGTCCTTGAGCATGCGGTGGTCGCCACAGCCAGCGATAGCGTCACGGCCAGCGGCAGGCCCTCGGGCACCGCCACCACGATGATGGTGACGGCAGTAATGACGATGCGCACAACGTTGTCGACGACCTTGGTGGCTTCATGCGACACCTCATGGCGACCGAACTGCACAAAGTACTTGATGATAAGCACGATGAACATCAGCAGACCGGCCGCCGCCCAGCTTGGCAATGAGCTCGGCCAGATCGTTGAGCTTGGCCTGCAACGGCGTGGGCTCGTTCTCCTTGCGCAGCGACATCAGCGTGCGGCCGTAGAATGACTTTTCGCCCACCCCACAATCACGCAGCGCCCGACACCTCCAGCACGCGGCTGCCCGAGATCAAAAACGGGTCGGCGTTCTTGCTGGACGCCTTGGGCTTTGGCTTCTCGGGGCAGGCGCGCCGCTGGCGACCGTGGCCTTGTGGGTCAGGTCGTTTTCGCCATCGGTCGACTCGTCGGCATCTACGCCCGACTGGCCCTCGGTCTCGATCTCCATGCTCTCGCCCTTGCTGCGCAGGGCTGCCGACCGCTGCTCGCGGCGCTTGGCGCGCAGCTCCGCCGCCTGCTCTGGCGCTCCTTGCGCCTATCGGCGTTGGCCTGGTCGGCCTCCTCCAGACAGCGCTTCCTTAGCGCATCGCTCTCGCCCGTGACTGAGCTCTCGTCGCACTTGAGATTGGATGCCGATACGACGACTCCGTCGGCGCACAGAATGTCTCCGGGCTCAATGTGGAGAATGTCGCCGACCATGATGCAGTTGGTCGAGACCAGGCGCTCCTGTGCGCCGCGCGTCACCCGCACCCGCCGGTCGTTCTTTTTGGCGTTGAGGCGGCGGAACTGCTTCTCCTTCTGGAAGTCGTTTATCGACGCCACCAGTGTCACCACCGAAATCGCCACAATAATTGCAAACCCTCAACCCAGTGCACGTCTTCGCTGTCCTCCGGGTCCGGGTTCGGTCTGACGTCCTGGTAGATGCCGATGCCCAGGGACACGATCGCCGCGACCACCAGAAGAATCAGCATTTTGTCGTGCAGCGCATCCCACACCAGGCCCAGGAACGACCGCGACTTGACCGGCGGCAGAATGTTGACCCCGAATTTCGCCACTCGCTCATAGTACAATTTCATGTCGCTTTCGAATTCGCCCAGCCACGTTAATGACTCGTCGTCTGCTCCCGCGCCAGCTCGTTGGCGATTTCCGCCGCCCGCGTTGGCGTCTTTTCCAGTGTGTTGAGTGACTCGCCGGGGCGCAACGGGACGATGCCGGTTTCAGAGTCGACGTTGAGCTGCTGCAGGAGCGCTGCGGTGCCGCCCAGTTTCCGGAACCCTCCAGGTCCTTGTCCGCACCAGCTCGGCCAGCCGGTCGGGGCTTAGGCTGCCGTCAACGTCCACTGAGTGCCCGTCGCTGTGCTGATTTTATCGCTGCTTTGCGACGGAGTCGCAGCGACCGACTCCGTGGCCGCTGGTTTTCCATTTGCACTCATAGCTTGTGTTTATCAGCTATTTGATTGGTAGTTGTCGATCCTTTTAGTGTGCGCTTTGGTTCCTGCTGCATGACTTTTTTTCCGTGCTGTTTGCTAGTGCCACAAGGGCCGAGCACTACTTACATGTATCAAAAGGAAAAAGGGGAGCCGGACTACTAGCAGATGCTAAAGTAAGCAGTTTCCAGCAGTCTGGATAGCTTATAGATAGAAGAACGGGTGTGTATGAGCGCTTAAAAGTGCAGGGAATCGATTAACAAATGCACGACGCTTGCTGGTACAGTAGACGTATTTGATAACAGCAAGTATATAAAAAAATAGGAGGGATTAAAAGGCAAAAAAGGGTAGAGTTAAATACAAAACGGGTGCTTGGCAGGACAAAGAGGGCAGTAGTAGTGCTATGGCGATTTAAATAATCTCATCATCCCGGACGCCCAGGAAAAAAAAGACCGCTGGCTGCCAGAGGCGGTTGGCCGCCTAGCAAAGCAACTTGAGGGTACATCCAAAACAACCAGTGAGAAAAACGAGGAGCAAAATGAGCAGAAGAAAGGAACGATCTAGTCCGAACCTTCTACCAAAGAAGTTCTCCTCAGAAACAGGTACCATCAAACGCCGCTAATGTTGACACAAGCGAGCCGCTAATCAATACTGGAGCTCTGGAATGTGATCTTGCCCCAACAGCATAGTTCTCAACTCATGTGGGCGGAAAGAGAAAGCTTAAAAAGAACCTCGCCAGCCAAAGAGAAGCTGGCATACTTGTCACTGTGACTCCCCCCGATGTTCCCAGTCTTCCAGCACAGGCTGCGCATATATTATGAGGGCCGAGAGGCACCATAGGTTACCAGAACGTTTTCCAACATCACTTTCCACACACCTGAAACAAGGGGCCGATGCACGCAAAAACACGCCAGAGGAACACGCGACGCTCCAGGGAGCCTTCTTTGACAAGCGCGAATGTTCCACGAACAGAGGATCGTCCCGCAGAGAACCATGAAGGCGTGCGGTTGAATAGAACATAGCTGGCGTGAGTAGGCGGATGTGTCAGTTGACATGTGTTGCAATTGACGCGATTGTTGGGGTTGGCCAATGCAAGGGCAGTGATCAGATCCGGAATTTGGATTTTATCACTGAGGGAAAACCAATATCCGTTCCAATGCGCTTAGGCTTTTTGTGGGGTATCTAGCTGGTCCCGAGCCCCGATATATGCATTGCTAGCCCGATGATGCAACAGTAGAAGCAGCGCTTATGCTAACACTGATAAGTAGGACGCTGGTGGTGCTGATGTCAGCGCCTGATACCACTACTGCCACGCTCTAGATGGGTCATATAGCCAATACCGTTACACACGAGTGCGAGGAGAGCTGCGGCCACAGCACTATAAAGGGTCTCAGGAGATCGCCCTCTTTGCTCCAGCCCAGCACTCATCTTTTGCTTTCCCACTACCATCCATCTCCAAGAATTCAAACAATGTCTGCTTTTGCCACCAAAGGATTCAACGCCAACCGCTACCTGAGCCTGCGCCCGACGTACAACAGCAATCTATTGGCCTGGCTGAACAACTACCATGCCGGGCCAAGGCCAGGGCGGCCGATATTGCCTGCGGCCAGGAATCTTCACCACCGATCTGGCGCGCGAATTCGACAGCGTCATTGGCGTCGATCTGTCCCGAGCATGATTGCGTCGGCCCAGGAGAGCGCTAGGCGCGCATCACC